TGAAGAGACGAAAGACTGATAAAGGTTCGAAGATGCTCTTCGAGCTGAACAATCGACGTCCGTTTCACGGAGAAAGATGAACACTATCACTTGCACCCGCTATGTAAAGTAAACAAAACAAAACCAAAGATATCATGAACCCGCCTCGGATATGTGTAGTATACAGAAAAGAAGGTTCCATGGAAAATAATAAGAACAATATCATTGTCCTGACTGTCAATTCCGCTCGGATGGTTGCTCACGGTTGACGGGCTGCGCACCAATCAGCCACCCCACGCCTGACGTCAAAGTGCCCATGGCCGCGTCGCGCAACTGATCCCGTTTGCGCACGTGGGGACCACTGGGACCGTCGGCACCGGACATGTCGTGGCCGTCGCTGTTGGTGCCGCCGCCGTCGCCGCCACTAAGGCCGACAAGCTCACGTGTCTGTCGAAGGCTCGACAGCGCAGAAAAGTTGCGCGATGCTACACGCGCCGTAGCCCGCGATAGGTCGAAGAGAGACAGTGGCGCGTCGTCCGAGGCGGCGCCGGCAGTGGCGGCCGACGAGGCAGACTGCTGGCGCCGGGGTGGCCGGGCAAGGCCACCGCTGCCGTGGCCAGGCCCTGTGGTTCGAGGGCCAGAGCGTGTGGATGCCTGTCCGCCGTAGGTCGATGTGGCGGCAGCAGAAGCTGCCGCCGCGACGCGCGAGGCCAGTGGTCGGTTGCTGCGGCCCGAGGACAACGACGGCGACGAGCGCCCGCTTCCGTCGTCAGCGCCAAAGCCACCCGGCATGCCGCTACTATGGCGGTTGTGTTGCAGTTGACGGCGGCGCTTGGCATCGGTATCGGCTGCGGTGGCTTCATGCTGCCACGACTGGTCCGCTGCGTCGTCCCAGGCAGTTTCCTGCTCGTCCTCCGCCTTCACCGCGGCCTCAAGCTCTTCCTCGCAGCGGCGGTAGGCGTTGAGGATCTCCTGGAGCGTGTCAGGCGGCGCGACACGCAAGGCGGTGGCCAAGCACTCGATGCGCTGCTCGAGGTGCCGAATCTGGAGATTGGCACTCGCTGTGCCGAGGTGTGTCGGACGCACCGTTCGCTCGGTGCGGCGGTATTTGCCAGCTTCCAAAGCCGCACGCCAGGACCACGTGTCGGCCGACGGCGCGCCGCCGTACGAAGAGGATGCGTTGACGCCTTGTGCCTTGGGCAGCTCGTCATCGTTGGCCAGCCGGCTCATGACGTACGAGTAGGCCGTCTCAAAGTCGTCCTCGGTCAAGGCTGCATCAATGCACATGGCGGTGACGCGCCGCTCAGCCAAGGCACGCTGCAGGGGTGCCTGTTCGGGTGTGAGCGCGGGCTGGCCCGCCTTGTCGCGGACCGTCAGGCCAGCATCGACAATGTCGCTGGCAATCTTTAGCAGTGCCTGGATATTGGTGTAGCTTCTGGGGTTCTGTTCCAGCACTTTTCCCAAAATCGAAAGAGGGTCTGTATGGACGCGAAGCACAACCGGCGTAAAGGGCTCGCCCTGCTTGAGGACAAGGCGGTAATCACATAAACCGTGTGTGGCCGCCATCAGCGCCTCTGCACGCCGTGTTGCTGGCAGTGATTTCTCGACTGTCAGGGGGAAGGTATGGATACTACAAGTCGGTTAATAGGCACAAAACGCCAAAATGAAAAGACGGTTCTTGCTCACATTTCGTCGCATTTCTTGAGGCCACCCCGGGTCCGGTTTGGGTTGGAGGCATTATCGTAGGCATTCAGAGCAGCTGCCAGAACGGTGTCCTGGACGAGGTCGTTGGAAAGAGGATGGTCGGGCGAGTCCTCATAGAGCGACCGAGCAAGAAAATATCCTAAGAAATTAGCAGGAGCATTCGACTCATTTAATCCACACAAAGACCACCAGGCCAAACATGTCGACGTACTCGTATTTGTGAGCAGTGCCTTGAGGAACTCTACTTCGATAAACTCCCGCTTCACTTGGCCAAACACGCCGCTGCCAGTCGATTGTGCATGGTCGTCTGTTCCGCCCCCCTCGTCGTCGGCGCCCCAGTCGCGCAGCCACAGGATCTCGTTGCGTGCCTTGATCCAGTACCGGTCGTCGTTGCGTGTGCCGTTGGTGGCGACCCAGTGGATGGCATTGGCGGCCTCGGTCTTTTGCTCGCGCTCGTTCTGCAGCACGGCCAGCTCGCCGGCCCGGCGGATGGTGCACGAGGCGCCCATTTTGTTGAGAAGCGACGCACTGAGAACAAGTGCGTGCAGCAGTTTGGTCGCCGTGCGCGACGGTTTGGTCAGGACGTTGGCTTCGCTGAGAAGGTCATTGCGGAGGTAGACGGCATTTTTCGGTGTGAGGAGGGTGCCAACGTCGGTGTCGGTCGAGACGGGGGAGAGGAGAGACAGGTCGGTCGGTAGGGCAGGGAGCGGGTCCTGGTCCAGAAGGCCAATAATTTTGCCGACGATGGCGTGCGCGGCAGCCATGGCTTCTTCGGACGACTCGGGCAGGAGGTAGACGCATGCCAGTGCGGCGCGCGCGTACCGGTACTCCAAGTATTCTTGCTCGCGGTCGTCTAGCCACATGGTTCCGAAGCCGCCCAGGTCGGCATCGCTCGGCCCGTCCCACTGCTCAATGGCCCGGGCAGCCACGCGCCACGACTTGGCCGCGTGCGCCGTCAGCCACTGCAGCACCTCCTCCCAACCTGGACATAAGCTCGACTGCAGGCCGTTTGCCTCACTTGCACTCTTGCCCTTGTCCTCGCCCCCGGTTTCTGCAGAAGACACCGCCCCGCTGCTGCTGCTCTCACTTCCACGTCGCCTTTTCGTCCATCGCCGGTCGCTGTACAGCCACGGACCGATCAAGCCACGCAGGTCGCGGCCCACAAAGTGTAGAGTGTCTTCGTGTGATCCCGTATTGGAGAGCAGCCGAGCCACAGCCAGGCGGTCGGGTAGGTGCTCAAAGTTGGCCAGTGTTTGCTGCAGAGGCGCGTCGGGGTAGTATTCGCAATTTCGCCGCAGGAGGGGCAAAAGGACGGAGATGGTCCAGGTGCGGAGGAAGTAGGAGCGGCTGAGGAAGGGTGCGAGCAAGGCCGGAAGCTCGGGCAGCGCACCAGAGCCATCGTCGACGGCGTACGCGCGTTGGATCAAGAAGACGGCCAGGGGATCTTCTGGTTCCTCCGCCTCCTCCGTTTCCCCTCTCGCCTCGGAGCTCGAGGCAAGTGACGACGCGGCGCCGGGTAGGGACAGCGGCTGGAGGCGGAGTTTGCGCACCTTCTTGGCGGCCTGCTCGTCGGACAACGACTGAACGCTCGACGTATCGATTTCTTGGAGGGGGAAGAAGCACGAGTAGTCGGCCGATTCGAGGCTCTGCAGCAGGGGCAGGTACTCCTCGGTCGTGAGGTGGGATGGGAGGTAAGTGAGTAGCAGGCGGAGGACCAGCTTCTTTCGCAGCGCATCGCCATGGCCAGCCGCCAGCGAGGCGAGGCTGGCGATGTCGCCCGTAGCTGTGAATTGCGCCGCGAGGAGGACGACTTTCGAGGGCGACAGGGCGGCCGACATGTCGGCTGCGGCACGCCCGACGCGTTCGTTACCGGTGTTTCTAGTGTTCCTGCGGTCGTGTCGTCAAGCTGCAGGGGTCAATCGCCGGTCTCGCCGTCGCAATCTGGATTTGTCAAGTCGAGTGTCGTGAGCGTTTGGCGTAGTTGACGTTGGTGACACTGACAATTATTCACTACGTAATGATCGGTTCTTAGTTAACATCTGTTCCCCGGGAAGCTGCGACTAACGCAGGTGGCTGCCACTGTGGAGTCAAGCTGTGGTGTGCACCGGTCGCTCCTGTCCATTTGCAGAAGACGTAATTCTGCTTAATGTGGCTGGTGCTGTGGCTAGTGAATTTCGGTGCGGGAAAATGCCATTGGCTCCATCCCGACCCCAGTGAAAGAGCATCGCCAGACTACCGACCACTGCTTGTTCTTCGGGCCAGCGCTCTGCACCACGACGAATCCGACGATAAAACGGCGACCCACGGACGACCGCTACCCAGCTGCTCTGTCGCGCACGCCAATTGATCTCACCCCTTCCAAACACACACACGATGGCTTCCGGTTTCGGCTTGAACGGAGGTAGGTGCAAGAAACGAGCGGCTAGGGAACACTGAACCAACGAATGCCGCAAACGACGACGACAACGCGACGATGCGACGATAAACCATATAAGGATGCTGACAGAGAATCCGTCTAGGCCCCGGCCGGTGCTTCCCTTTCTGGCAGGAGATGCTCGCATGCTACGTCGTCAACTCGGCGGGCGAGGACGAGGCCGGCAAGAAGAAGTGCGCCCCCCTCCTCGAGGACTACTATGAGTGCCTGCACCACAAGAAGGAGGTGAGTCAAGATGCGCATTGACTATTGCTGCTTTCCACTTCAATTCCTCTCAGTCAATCACCAGTCCCCGCTAACGCAACACAGGCTGCGCGCGTAAGAACGCTCCAGGCGGCGCTCCGCAAAGCCCAGGCGGCCACCCCACGAGACGCCGCACCGAACGCGGGCCAGATACGGAACCTGGGTTTGTTGGGCAAAGAGGATGACACACAAAAGCTGTTGAGCTCATCATAAACACACTACGAATACTGGGCATTTGGAACACATACAGTCGATGAGGAAGCGGGAACGACAAACCCTGTACTGTACATTTGACCCTGAGGGGTTTCATGCAAAATTAAAAGGCACATTGAAGCATACTGAAGACCGTTTCCGACGAAAGTCTAGCTGCCGCAGTGCTAGCCGTGTGATATTGGACGTTTGGCAGCTCGCAGTCGGCTCTCGACACTGTATACGATGCGATGCCATATGTGAGGTAGAACCGGTTGTTGGGATGCCAGCCGTTTTGAGAAGGAGCGGCCGGCGGTTGCACCTTCCATAGCCGAAATCACAACACCTCCTTTCCGTCCGTGTTTACATACGGAGAGCGCAATTTTCTGCTCCGTTTTGCTTTGTTCTGGCCATGCTTCAACTACAAGTATTCGTCCAACATCCACTCACAATGCCCTGCTTCCGTGGAATCGAGATATCGCTCGTCGCTGCGTCGGACAATAGTGTCTTTCCCGAGTTCCCACACCCCGACGGTTCTTCCGTCAGGTTCGGCGGGTTGCAGTCATCGAGATGCAGCAGTGCTGTGTTTCTCAGTCCTCGGCGCTGCAAACCGACAGACGGACATCTCTCCGACGAGGGCCAGGTACACGCGGATCCCAAGATATCTGTCTATATCCCTTCCGCTCCAGGTAAATGGGAACTCAGTTGTCGTTGCAAGACAAAAGCAACCATGGAGCTAGCTGACAGTGCGTGATGGCAGACACAAACTTTTACTTCCGCTACGTTGTCAACCAGGCTCCAGTTGGCCACAAGTATCTCTTCTTTCAGATCACCATCAGTGGCCGCCACGTGGTGTCGTGGGGCCTTGACCTTGCTGAGACGATGGTGGGTGCAGCACACCAGGCACTCTTTCAGCCCTCGACGTACTACCAGCACAACGATAACGGGGTCATTATGACAGAGTACGGCATCGAGTCGCGCTGCTTCCGCTTTGTGACGTGCGGCTCGGCGGCGGCTTCCATTGCAAATGACGGTGGACTCATTCAAGTGCAAGTGTTCCGGGCCCGGTCGAGACACAGGCGGGCACCACAACCGGATCCGTACCGCGGCAACTATAAATACGGAGTCGCGTGCGTCCTTATGTCCCGAACCCATTTTCCTTCCGTTCCGTGCGTTGGTCCGACTCGTCTTTTTCTAACAGGACCAGACTCATCAGCAACGGCCTCCTCGAGAATCCGCAGATGGCAAACTTCTACGACTACCACTTGATCGACGCAATTGACGCACCGTATGCCACCTTTCAATTCCACTACCGGTCGTGGGAGAATCTCAGGCTGCTTCAACTTGCACCGTCCGAGAAGCCACCCGAGCTTCTCTGCGCAAGCCCAGCAAAGACAATAGACGAGGAGCTCGACAGTGTTGGCTTTGACTTCTCAAACAATGCAAGAGGCCGGGCCGGAAATAGACTTGGTGCTTCGAGCGACCGAGACTACGTCTCCACGCCCAGTCCGAGTAATTTCGAGGTGGGAAAACCTGCCGGTCAACGAAAGGAACGCCCTCTTCCGGAACTACCGACCGCTAGCAATCATGCAACCGGTACAGGTACTTTGCAAGAACCGAAGACAAAAACTGAAGCCGAGGACGATGGAAAATCATTTGGTTCATCGAGCGAGGACACGCACCAAGCAGAAGAACACCGTGCTCAACGAGTGAGAAAAGCTTCCGGGGCGCCCAAGAGCTCTGACACGTCCAACATACCCATTGCGGGGTCCCTCGAGACGCACAATGAAAGCGAAGGCGGTCTCCTGGTTGACGCAATGGACTTTGGCTCGGCGATCAATAAGGCTACGGAGAGGGACTCGCTCAATATTGTCCGAAAAAAGGGCCTCCGTGCCGACGAGTATGGCGGACCCGCGTTCGAAAAGAGTAAGGAAGACAGGGACGACAAGGAAAACAAGGCTCTCCAAGAGATCACTGTGCCTGCTTTGGAGCGCCTGGCTTTCTCGCCTTTGAAGCCCCTGCCAAAGACCATATTCGTGGCTCCGTTCACAGACAGTCTCCGCAAGCGCGAGATGGCACCGCTTCCAGAATCGCCGACACGCCACCGTAGCCGCCGAGTCTCACACGATCCCTCTCTGATAAGTCCTAGAGGTTCGGGTTCAAAGCAGAAGCGGGTGCATGGAGGAAGCCTTGACTCGAGATGTCAGCCACTTTTTGATGAGGAACACTTGGGGGCTAGATGATCACGTTTTGGTAAATTTGGAATGATATTGAACAACCAGATAATATCGAATTGCAACGACAAAGTCTTCCTCGAATAAGTGACGGTTTTGTTTGGTGTAATGCTTTTTGGGGGCACACAACTGTCCACGAGATGAGTTGTCGGTGCTGATTGTTAGTGGCTGATGCCTCACCAGAAACAGACCTGGAGTTTAAAGCTCCTACATTATGAGCTAGAGATGCGGTATCGCCCCCGCTTTGACTTGACACAGGTCTTTCTTCAATCCGACCACACTCACCTCCATGTACACCGTCCAATCCAATGACCAGTCATGGGCGAAACAAAAGAGAGCCATGAAGAGCGAACGGCCCACGAGCCACGCGAAGCGGTAGGTGGACACTCGTGTCGCGCCTGCAGCCCACTCGTAGCCCTCAGTTCTAACACAAACGAAACTCTAGACACTGCATTCCGTCGTCTTGGTCAAGATTACACCCGTCGGCAGCCTTGTCCGCTTGCTGCGTCTCCAAATCCCCGAAGGTTCACCAGACATCCCCGTACGTTTTCCTATTTTATTGCGTTTTAGCACGACTCCACTACCGCCCCGCTAACTGATCCAAAAAAAGTTCCTTCCTGGCCAATGGGTCGATTTGTTCTGTCCTGGCATCGTGAAAGCTGGTGGCTTCACAATCACATCACTGCCGTCCAAGGCAGGACCAGGAGCCAGCACAGCCGACCGGTACATTGAACTGGCCATCAAGAAATCGCCGGAGAACCCTGTGGCCGCATGGCTGTGGCAGGATTCGGCGACGATCCTCGGTCAGAGGCTGCAGATTCGCGTCGGCGGCAGCTTCGTTTTCCCACCGCCCGGCGCCCCTTCCTCGTTTGCCACGGACCGGTCTGCGCGTGTCGTTTTTGTGGCTGGTGGTGTAGGCATCAACCCATTGATTAGCATGGCGAGTCACCTGGGCGAACTCAACGGCGCGAATCTGTCCCAAGGAGGGACGGGTGGGCCAGACGTAGTATTTCTCTACTCTGTCCAAGTAGACCCAGAGGTGGTTCCCAAGGGAAACAAAGATGGCGACAACGAAGCAGATCGCATTCCCTTTCTCCAACGGCTGGCCTCACTCTTCAGCCGAGAGGCAATCCGAGGCGAGCTGAGAGTATTTTTGACGGACAATCGTGCCAGCAACAAGGTTGACGCAGATTCGGCTAACGACGTGCTGTCATGCAACGAAGAAAAAGTACCTTGTCTCCGGCGACGTATCACGACGGCTGACCTAGACAAGGCGATATTGGGGAAGAGCGATCGTGCCAGTAACCATGGCCTTGACAATATCTATGTCTATATCTGTGGTGTGCCCACAATGACAGATGTCTTCGTGAAGTACTTGACGGGGGAGGACGGTCCCGGCCTATCGCCGCGCCAGGTTTTATGTGAGAAGTGGTGGTGACACGTTACCGACCGACAGCATGTCATAGGAGTGGAAAAGCAAAAAGGCAAGAGACATAAAAGACGAGAAAGACAATCTCATCCAGTAACGGTATATTACTTTCAACAACTCAGTTTTGGATCCGTGTCCACTCCAGTCGCCCTTTCGACCAAATTCACTCTGGAAAACGATAGAACCGCCTGTGCCGGGTCAAGCCAAACCCCATCATTTCTTCATCCAATCATGCACCAGAAGCGATGCTTAGAGGAAACCAGAAAATAGAACCGTCCCCTCGAACTCCAGAAGCTAATAAAACAAAACGGAGAAAAGCCAAGACACAAGAAGCAAGCCAAATACAAGAACTGAACCAAGATGGAATAAAACAACCAGCCCCAGCAAACGATAAGTAAGGGCGCCCCAGAAGATATGCATGGGATAATCACATGAGTACGAAGTGCAAAAGGTTGCAAAAGAAAGCAAAGCCTGGGGAAAGATAGGGGGTTATGAAAACAGGGTGGCCCGAATCCTTCCTGATAGTATGTACGTAAATATTAATGCAGGCCAGCGCTGACCATCAGTTCTTGGCTGTCGGCGTTTGAAAAGCTGAACTTGTCCATCGGAAAGTCTTCGTCGGGGGTGCGGATGCCAATCCCGCTGTCATCATGGTTTCCGTTTGCCATGTTCATAGACTCTTGGTTGGTTGTTGAGCTGTGGCTAGGGGCTGATGGGAAGGGAGCACGGTCAGGCTGTGATTGCGGGATATGCGGAGAGTTTGCGTCGTCCGTGGCACCGCTATACCGAGCGCCAGACCGGCTTGCATCCCGACCGGCAGAAGTGTTTTTCTGGGACACACCACTGCCCTGGACATTGCCCAGCAGATCTTGGTGTGAAGAGGTCTGCCGCAGGAAGCCGCCCTGTTCCGCCAGGAAGGCAACCATCTCGTCAATCCAGCACTTGGTGACCCACCAGGATCCAAAGCTCTTGCCCTGCTGGATAGTCAAGTCGCGCATCACCGCAGTGCCGATGCGCTGCACGCACCACACAATGTCTCTGTGAGATGCGTACGGGAAGCGGCCGGGAAGTGACTGCAGAAGGCTGACCCAGCGGTCAAGGACATTGGACGCGCCGCCATCGACGGTGTTCTCATTATCTAACCGGCGGCCGCTGCGTGCAGCGTACTCGCCGTATAGAGTAGCCGACTCCAGTTCCCAAGGAACTTCGACAGGGTCGAGAAGATCACGCAACTGTGAGATGAGCAGGTTTACAACGTCGTCCATACCACGTGCGGGGACAGACTCGGCAACCTTACGCACGCGAACAAGAGTAATCCAGTCCAGATACATTTGATCGCGATTGGCGGGGTTGGAGAGCATATTGGCGGCAGCATGTGCGGTAAGGTTGACACGGAGGGCGCGGTCCAGCAAGCCAGCGAAGATCGTGGCGGGAGCTTCCTTGGCCCGAACAACATGTGACGGCTGACCCTGGAAGGACTCGCGGATGTGAGACACGAGCCGTTCTGAGATGTTCCTCAGCGTGTCCAAGACGGGCTTAGGCACGACCTGAAGCGTCAGGCCGGAGATGATGCGCATCATGCGCTGATACAATGCAAAATCGCACTCTTCGATCCACGGGGCCACCGCCGGGTTGGCAAACAGCTTTTGAACGGGCATGGTAAGTGTGCCATGGAACGAGGTGAAGAGGTGGAAGAACGTCTTCTCTTTGCAGTATCGAATGCACTCGACCAGGGATGTGCAGTGTGAGCGATAGAGGGCGGCGAGAGACTTGGCCGCATCGGGATCTGTTCCACTCGGGAGGAAAGGTTCGATGCGAGGCAAGACAAGGGGGTCGGATTGCGAGAACGGCTCCGTGTCGGCACTAGACGCCAAGAAGAGGTTCTGGATGGTTTTGCTTGTGGCAGTAGCGTTCAGCTGATCGATGCCCATCGCGTCGGGCTGGTTGTAAAGGCACTGCACATATTCGCCCGAGCCGGACGACTGAGCCTCTTGATGCTGCTTCAGCTGCTGGTGAAGGCGTTGTTGATGGAACGGTTGTTGTTCTTGCTGGCGCGATTGTTTTTGTTGTTGGTCAGTTGACGCAGTGTGTGCTGGGTTTAATGCACCGGCAGGGGTAAACACAGCCTTGGGTGGCAGCCCAGTTCCCGTCGCGTTTTTATTGTTGCTGTTCGCCATGTTAGCAAGCACATCACGAACAGTCCGCCGCGTCCCAGCTTAGAAACACCGTACCTCTCGTTGGAAAAGCTATGTGAGAAACTGACGCTGTCCAACAAAGGGACCTGCAGCCTTGGGGAGTCTGGAACATCAGGGCCGTCTTCGGCCAGAGTGAAGTTGACATAGTGGTACTTCGACTCGCCGCGAACGCCCAACCGACGGGTCCTCAGGCCGGGAAAGAGGACGCGCACCAACTTGCCGAAGCTGGCAGGGTTCAGCACCGTGATGCGCTCATTAGCACACCGCGATGCGTAGTTGGCGTAAACGCGGCCACGTGGGACGGAACCCTTGCCTTTGGAGCACACCTGGTTGATCCTGCGCAAATTAGAACTCGTTCTGTCATGAAACAATGCAACGCAGCTCCTTGAACGGAAAGGGCCGGCCGCGACTTACCAAAGCATCGCAAACACCTGACGAGTGCGCTCCGAGTTGGGCCCACGCTCGTTACCGTGCAGCTCTTCAGCAACATCCTGAAGGCTACGCGCCTTGTTGGCATTGAACAACTGGCGCATCTCCAGCTCGTTGTTCGCACTAGAACGAGAGGGCTTGGGAGCGTTCGCGGCCATGCCTGCTGCCAAAGACGAATCGCCATCCTCATTGCCATCACGGGTCAGTTCCATCTGGCTGTCGAGGTCACCAAAGCTGGCGTCCGCGCCAAAACTGGTGTCTCCGGGCAGAGAGTGTTGATGACCAAGGCCGTTGGCGTGGTGGTGGAAGGACTGCGCGGGACCAACCGACGTGGCCATGGAAGCGTCGAGGCCGGAGAAGTCGCCGTTGGCCTCGAGTTGCGACGCGGCTTGCAGGATGATATCCTCAGGCGTAAGGGGGTGGACGCCGGCGAGGCCAGCCTTCATCATCTGGCCGGCACCGGCATGCGGATGGTGAGCATGACCGTTGTTGTGCTGGCTGTGATCGTGGCCATCATCTAGCCATGGCGTCGCAGAGTACAGTTCGGGGAAGCTGTGTTCGAGGTTGGGCTGCGTGCTGCCGCTGTGCATGGAGCTGGTCGAAGCCCGCGACTGCGAGCGACGCCGCGCATCTACTAGTTCAGTGGCCATCGTGGCGGCCATGTGTGGGGATACGAAGTGACGGGGAGAGGAAGCTGCCGTACGAGTCGTTAGAGGGAATACCAAGGCGACGATGACGAGAATCGTTGCATAAAGGCGAGGAGGATGGCGATGGACGGGGGGGACGGGGTTGGGACGAGACAAGGGGCCAAAAAAAAAACGAATCGAAAACTCGAGGAGAGGAAAAGGACAAAAGAAAAGGACTGCTGTGACGAGCCTTACCTTATGTGGCTTGCTGCGACGAGGGAGCTTGTTGATGTTTTCGATAATGTTTTGTCTCGCCCCGCAGTTATCAAAACAAAATGAGGAATACAGACTCCAAGCCGGTCAAAACAACAAAAACGAAGCGGCAAATAACAAGAAAACAGAAGAAAACAGCTCGCAGCCGCGCCTCGGTGCCGGCATCCAAATTATCCAACGGGAAGTAAAACGAATGAACAACGCAAAAGCAACACACAGGGAGTGATTGCAGACGATGGCGATGCGTGTTGAGGCGGCTGGCGGGTGGTGGTCGTTGAAAAAGTGCCACGATACGCAGGGCTGTTGAGGCGGTTGAGAGGAAAAAGAAGGGATTGTTTGGTCGATTTGTTTTGATTTGGGTGGGCTAACAAAATATCCGGTCCTGTCTCCAAGGGGAACCAAAACATTGCGGGCGCATTGCTCCTGCCAGCCACAACACACTGCCAAATTTCGACAACAAACCAGGTGACTCCACAATCCGAGGAGCCGAGTCACGGGGTCTTGGTGATGTGATTGGCTAAAGCGTTTGTTGACGTCCCGCCATTGCCTATTTCGTACTAGAGTGGTCAGGTATGAATACCTTCCTTATGTAATATTTCCGGTCTCAAGTCTCGTATGTGTACCTTCCCAAATTAAGCATAGTCCGAAGACCCTCGAGCCTTATATACAAGGCAACAATAACCAGCCTGTTGTGGCGCAATACAGCCGTGCGTACCGTCAATCATGCACTGTATCGCACAGTCACCGCCCTGTACGCCGTAATTATTCGTACATCGCTATCCGATCGACCATCCGTCGCTGCTGAAACAAGTGAAGCACATGCCGTCTGGCACACAGTGTAAGAATACGTCACCACCTGCCTTCCACCGACATCCTCCGTCCGCTTTGTATGCCCCCCTGCTAAAACCCATCTTCGCATTGCTAGCAAGCAAGCTACAGTGCGCTAGTCACCTTGTTAGCGGACGAGCTGAGTAGCCAAAGCAAGCTGGCAAGCAATGATAGCGCCCAGTAAGGCCCAGAGGACCCGGAACGAGTCCACTTTATGTGCCTCTCGGTTGCTCCTGCCCTCTGACGACCTCTCGACCCGTCTCAGCTTGCTCCAGGGCGCCCTTCGATCCTTCCTGGAACAGCTTGGCCAGGCCTCTTGCCGGCGCCACAAAGCACACCCACTTATCTTGAGCTGCCCACTTCCTGCTTCTCTTGCTGCCCTCCTACAGCCGAGTCAATTTTTCTTGTTTCCTGCCCCGGACCGATCGTACTTTCCATCGTCATCCTTTCAAACCTCATCCATCTCATTTCCATCGTCAAACCCGAAAGTGCAGCCTCAACGCCTCGCAGGTTCGTGATGACCCCCCTTCCCACAAGCTGTCTATGGCCGCTACGATACGGAGTAGACAGGGGCATAAGACCCCTGCCATCTGAGACCCTCCGAGGATGCCCCAAACTACGGTGTCCTCTTTTTTTTGCGTGCCCTTTCTGGGGCTTTATCTGACGAATCGCCTCGTTTCTGACTTGCTCCTTTTTTTGCTCCCTCCCACAGATCCTTTTGTTTAATCGAAATCGCATCTTTTTGCTTCCCGCAAACATCCACACCGATAACGTCACTACGCAACCGCTTCCAAACCATCCGCCAAAATGTCGTCTCCCCAAGACCGTGTCCAGGGCTACCTGAAGCAGCTTGACTCTGAGGTCAGTTCTCATTTCTGCATTTCTCCATCTTCTTCGTTCTCATTCTTGCTTCCGAGCGGAAACACTTGAGCTGGCTACACCTCACCCCGTTGTCTGGTTGTGTTGTTTCGTACTGGATCTCCCTGGGGGTCGCACTCGGTGCTTCCTTTGTTCTTTCTGCGAGCTCTTATTGGGTCGCGAGATTACTATTGCCAATGACGCAACTATCGGGTGGCATACGGCCAGTTTCTTGGGTTTGTGACAAAGCCTCGATGCTAACCTCTCCATCTCGGTCTCCAGCTGTCCAAGTACCCTGTGCTCAACAACCTCGAGAAGAACACCGCCGTCCCCAAGTCGTACGCCGCTCTGGGTCTCGGCGCTCTGTATCTGTTCTTCATCATCTTCAACCTTGGCGGTCAGCTCCTGACCAACTTCGCTGGCTTCGTCATTCCCGGCTACTTCTCTCTTCAGGCGCTGTTCACATCGTCCAAGACCGACGACACGCAATGGCTGACCTACTGGGTCGTTTTTGCCTTCTTCACGTGAGCATTTATTGCCTTTCTTCACTCCCATGCCCAGTCGGGACGGAGATGGTTCCGGAATATAAGCGGGGTCTGCAATGCTAACGAACACTTGCAACAGTGTCGCGGAGAGCTTCGTTAACGTGGTGTACTGGTTCCCCTTCTACTACACCTTCAAGTTTATCTTCCTGCTGTGGCTGTCTCTGCCCTACTTCAAGTAAGCTTTTCCTTCATTTTCTCCTCGTGGTCGTGTACCATTTTTTGTTTCTCCTCAATTTTACTGCTGCTGCTGGCCTGCCCAGCTGCTGCATCTCTGCAATGCTCGGCAGGCGATGCGGCGCTTATGGGCATTTTTGGGCACTTTTGGCAGTACTTTGTCAGTTTGAGTCTGCCAGGAATCTCCTGCTAATATTGTGTGTCTCACTCCCTTTCCTCTAGCGGTGCTGAGGTCGTTTTCCGCTCGTTCCTCGTCCCCACTCTCGGCCGCTACTTCACCCAGTCGGGCTCCGCTGGCCTGCGTGCCAAGGCGGACACTGCTGCCAAGACCGAGTAAACACAGCAGCTCGAACTCGTACAGGCAGCGCAATTGCGTGCTCTCCTCTCGAGCCAGTGCACGGCCTGTTTGGGACACCCACGCCTAAACAGCCTCTACCTCTCTCTCATGGACACTCTTGTCCTTTCCTGCGAATTCAGCTCCTGTCGTCTCAGCCAACAGCTGCCGCTGCGATGCCCTTCTGATACCATGAAGGATAGGAAAGGACGAAGCTCCAGCCAAAGGCGGCACTCCCAATCCACCACAGCATTCGACACATTCGAAGACCGAGAGGAACGCCGGTCTGTGATGTCACGCTATTTACATTTTTGACACTTGGCAATTGGAAAGCAACCACCTGGCCTTTCCTTCCCTCTCGAATCTATTGACTTGAATGGTTTTATACTATTATGTTTTCTTCCTCTTGACGCGCTGGGCATGAGTAATGACAAGCCGAACCGGCGGCCAGGATGGGGGTTCACCACATAGACAGTTCTTTTTGTCATATTTGCTTTTTTTCTCTTCCATGTTTTGCTCGTCTCGCTTCTTACTTTTCATATCTTTCCTTTCACGGTACTTTTTGACGATGGATGGTGAGGCACACTGGGATTTGTATGCTCATGACCTGGTTTTATACTGGAAACATCCCTCTTGGATGGGTATTATGCTCTGGTTCTATTCTTCTTGATTTTCTTTCTTGGGTCATATGCCTGTGTTTGTGTGTCTTGTTTATGTCCTTGTACTTGTAGACTCTTGGAATATGAACAACTATATATCACCAGCCAGCTTCATTTCGACACATTCCACGTAGCTGGGCGGCTCAGGAGCAAATAAGGAGCGGCGCTTCTCGGCCCTTTGCCCACGTGCTGTTCTTATTCTTCATTTGTGATGCTTTCTTTTATTTTTATATTTCATTTTCAGATCCTTTTCAATTTGACAAAAATTAAATCTTTGGATTTTAGTAACCCAATCTTAAAACATTCATCGCAGGCCCGCCAAGCATGTATATTTATTGTTTCTGACAGGAAACAAGTGATAGGCAAAGCCAACGTCGGGTATTCCGTGAAATAGCTCAGCTGCGTGCATATCCGTAGCCTTGCATGTGGTGTTGCTATGTTGTATGTGCTGTGTTTGTGCTGGTGGGTGATGGCATCAGTCAAGTGTGGCTTGCGTTCACTAGAACAACACATTTTGTGGCTGCAATGGCGCTGTGCCACTAGGGGTCTCCCGCTAGTCAGCTAATGAGGCGCGGATAGTGACAGGGTGCTGTCTAGGTGCCTGGGCCGTTACGCCCTACAGACTGCTCCGTAGTTCCTTGGTAGGCCTAAACATCCCCTGCCAGTGTCTGAGGCTCTGGACCCAAGAGGCCAGGATCCGCGTCTGAAACTCCAAATGTCAGCCTTCAACGACTCCTTTTTTCGACTCCCTCCCTCTCACTTGTGTTGGCCCCCGAGTCCCACGTTTGCGGCGCAGACGTCCCGGGATGTTTCCAATCCGTCCTTTTGTCTCTGGAATAAACAGCGCAAGTGTCGTCGATAATGTCTTGATCCTGTGAATACCAAAGGCCTGAGCAACGAAACGGGACGCCATTCGACTCGTTCTCCACAGACGAAGCAAACAGCACAAAACGAACAACTCCAACAATACGACACCAACCTACGCCCGTGTACGTATTGACGGCACCGGACGGCACGGAATAGACAAACGGGACAACGAATACGACGGCTCCCGTCGGGGGGAGGTAGAACCTGTTGACGAATCTACGACGTTTTGCCATCACGAACAAAGAAAACAACCTATACACAAATAGACAGCCCTTTCGCCATGGGTTCACATGCTCCACGACATCAAAGGAGTCTGCTGGCACCGGCCGGCATGGCGTCGGCCCTGACGCTCTTCCTCCCTCTCCTGCTCCTCCTCTCCTTCCCACACAACTCGGCCGTGGCCGCGACAACTGATGCAGACGCCGACGCCGGCGTCCTCGAGGCCCCATCCCCATTACGACCCAACGGTGACGACGGCGATGGCGGATTCATACAGGGCGTCTTTCGGTCACTGCTGCAAAATGGGGGCAGCACTGGCGAAGACGCGGGCAGTGCCGCGGAGGGCAGCTCACAGACCAGTCTGTATGAGCCCGACTTTGGCATCTTTGACCGGGGGATTCTGGGCCGGGCCCCACCAGGCGTCTCGTCGCTGACAAGCAACGTGCCTGTGACGCTGAATGTCGTGCCGGGCACGACACAGGTGTTTGTGTTTGAGAAGGCGCTCATCTTCGGCCGAGAAGCGGAAGAGAGGGAGAAGCAGCGAGACGTCGAGCTGCGGAGACGCGAGGCCGGATATGAGGAGGGCGACGGCGACGACGAGCGGGACAAGGGCAGACTCGACCTCGAGGACGGCGGTGACGATTCGGAGGGGCTGTTGCGGCGGCAGAGCGACGCCACGTCGCGCACTGTCTACTTCTCGGCCAACACGTGCATTCAGCCGCAGCTGCTGTCGCCCACCGTCAGCGGTTCCGCGCCACAGCTGACCATGTACGTGTCGACGACGCCGTCCAACATCTCGCCGGGCCCGGCCAGCAACCCGGCGCACCAAACGTACTACGTGTTCGAGGAGGGCGCCGTCATGGCCAGCCTCAACGTGACGGACGACGTGTACATTGGCATCTCTGCGCCCAACATTTCCAGCACGATGCTCTCGGGAACGTACAACTTCCAGCTGGGCGCGTCGGTCGACGACTATTACCACAGCTACGACAACGAGACGGACGCGAACCTGATTTGGGTCGACAGCGACTCGAGCGCGTCGCTGCTCATCACGCACAACCTGACGGACAGCACGGCGGCCGCGACGGACGCCAATGTGATGGGTGCCGAGCCGTACGTCATGTTTGCGCAAAACGTCGACGACCGCTCCGCCGACGGCGTGCGCTTCTCGTACTGCGGCCTGCAGACGTACGCGCAGATTGCTGCAACGAACAACGGCAAGTTCACGAGCATGGTCACGACGGGCATGACGCTGCGCGGGCTCGGCAACCTGCCGAAGCAGCAGTTCTACTTTAGCGGGCTCAATGCCAGCAGCAACTACGTCGGCATCCTTGCGGCGCTGCCGCAAAACGGTACCGGCCAGGTGGGGTCCAACGTGGTGGGCGGCGGCGGCAAGGTGGCGCGAGCCACGAGCTTCCAGACGAAGGCGCCCAATGCCAACTGCGAGGTCATCTTTGACCTGCCGTTCTGCAACGAGACGGCCTACGCCGTGCCGAGCAACCCGACGCGCTTCACCAACTCGTCGCAGCTCGCCGCCGTCTACGACAAGTACGCGTCCGACATGTTTGCCATTTTCAAGAACGTGCTGGCGCAGATTCCCTGCGAAGCGCCGGACACGCAGCGCTACTCGCTGGCGCGCACGTGCGCCGACTGCGAGGCCGCGTACAAGAACTGGCTGTGCTCGGTGGCGATCCCGCGGTGCTCCGACATCTCGGACAACTCGACGTGGCTGCAGCCGCGCGCTATCAGCCAGCCGAACCCGATCACGGGCGAGTTCCTGGCACCGGACCTGGCGGCGCAGTATCCCAACACGACAGCGTTCAACTCGTCGCGCAACCCTTTTATCGACGACACGATCGCGCCCGGCCCGTACAAGGAGGTGATGCCTTGCGATGACCTGTGCTATAATTTGGTGCAGAGCTGTCCGTCGAACATTGGCTTCTCGTGCCCGCTGCCGGGCTACATTGGCTTCAACACTAGCTACGGCCGACGGTCGGAGGCTGACCAGGACGGCTTCGTGACGTGCAACTACCCCGGCTCGGCCCATTACTTCTCTGCCGCGCCGGCAGGTCCACAGCTCTCGTGGCTCGCCGTGATGGCTGTAACGTTTGCTGTGGTTGTGGCGTAGAGATGTCTTTACGGTTCAGGCGATTTCGGATCTTTTGTTTTATTTGTAATTATGTGTATTTATTTAGAATGGTGTTTTGGAATGACTTGCTGCTAAAGGGGGACAAGCGGTTGGCGTTATTTATGTTATACATGTTTGCTTTGAATGAGCAGTTATGTCAATGTGCCTGGATAGAAATTATAACGTGAGCCTTCGTTTATACAGTATACTTGGACAATATACACATGCATATATATTTGAGACTGTACAAATAAATGGACAAAAAACGGGATGCTGAGTTTACACCAGAAATATATGTATATGAAAATAATTACCAACCAAAACGCCTCGTGACAACCGTCAATGCATCTCATGAGACCACCTTATAAAGCACCCCATCAAAAAACACAGTTTACGCCTTCTTACCTTCCTGCAGCTCCTTCACTTTTGCTTCCAAAGCAGTGATCTCTGCTACCGGGAGTTAGCCACGGGGTTAACAGAGAAAGCCGTCGTCGTGTGACATACCTTGCTTATCACTGCGGATCTCGTCTTGTTCCAGCTTGGACCAGCCGAAAAAGACCAGCTGGTAGGTGAAGATGGCCATCAGGCACACCTTGAAGATGGGACGGCCAAACGTCTTGAAGAAGGAGGACTGCAGGCTGTTAGCGTGGCCAAGCACGCAAAGTACTAAATACAAGAAGTACAAGGGCAGCTTGTCATCAAGCTATTGAGAGCATCATACATATGCGGACGGTTCAGAGGAGGAAGAGTTCCAGCGACGGCCGACGGCTGCAGAATGGTGCCTGAAAGCCGGGCCTTGGCGGGTTGCTAAACGCAGGGCCGGTGCGGCGGTCGCAAGAAGGCGCCTCGGAAGCATGTTGTGAGAGGATGGCGGGAATGGGGAGGTTGCGTCGTCTGATGCGATGTCATCGGAAAAGCAGACGTTGACTGACGTCGGATTTTTACAGATGTCGATCGATTTAACCAATCATTGCACGTGCGCAACTGTATGTAGTCAAAGAAGGTGCGTTGGGGGACATTGCCCCCCACAGTATTGCTTTCCACCTCTACTGGAATTTGAGCCGCGACCCACTAAATGCCGGGGGGCCCACTCGCTGCCTATGCTCTTTCCCACCACATTCCCCCCTAACAATGACCGAGCTAACGCCTTAATGGGCTTGGCCCCAGCACGGCGAACCAACTGGAAGGAAGGAACGAAGCGCAATGTGGCCGCAAAGGGGGCAGAACACAGAAGGTGTCGATCTGTCCCCAATCGACGACTGTAGCTTCCTTTTTATATTGGTCCCCAACCGCATCCAACCAAAAGCACCAAAGGGGCAATTCGAGTATCTTTTGGGACGTTGACACATTCCACGAATTGACCCTTTACTTTTCCATTTCGTTTCTTTTCGACAGCCCTCCCAACGTCTTCCATCATCGACGCGCCTTTCCGACATCCAGTTTCCACTGCGATTCGCATTCTCGCGATCCTTCTCCCACGCGACACTTGCCGTCAACCAGTCTTTCTCTCTCTCACACACAAACAATTTCACACAATCGTCATAATGGTAGGTCCCCATTTCTGCAGGTCGGGTGGTCTCGCGGCCGATAGACAACGAGAAGCAGCGACCGTATCCTGTCGCCACATCGTGCTAACACATTTCTCCCCAGGCTCAAACACCCGAGCAGCGGCGCCGCAACGCCAAGTTTGCCAAGGAGCAAGATGCTCGTCGTGGCAAGTCCGAGGCCGAGCTGAAGCGCCGCAACAAGGAGGTGCACAAGTCGCCCGTGTCGCCGGTGATTTTGGGTACGTGGGCAGCCCTTCGCCCCCTTCCTCAATGAGGAACGCCCTCGTTCTGTCTGAGCCGATGCTAACATCCCACCCTCCCCTCTAGGTCTCCTCGGTTTCGTCGTCTTTGGAGGGCTGGTCTTTGAGGTCTTCTCGCGTTTCTTCGTGTAGAGACTGCGCTGCGAATACACCTCGTCTCTCGGAACGCCAGCCGTCTCCCTTTGCGCATGGACCCCATTCGCGAGCAACAAACGACACACGAAAGCACACGCCGGCTCCACGACACCCTTCGAACTTGTCACCCCTCACACTCATTCCTGAGACCGACCGCGTACAATGCCCCTCCTTGCACAGGCTCACGTATGCCCAAGGTCGCGACCGACACAACCTCGAACAAAAGTCGGCTCACGGAAGCGTTGGCCCGAGACCAAAACGAAAAGAAAGACAAACACACAAATAACGGGGCGAGAGACGACGCGAGCAGTCGACGCTTGTCGACTCCTTGCTCTGTACGAACAGTGGCGGTGGCAGAAAACAATGAGACGACGGCAAGAGGTAGAGATCACGACCAAAGAACAATAGCTGTGGGTGGCTCTTTGTTCTTTTCCCTCGATTTTCCCTCTCCGTTTTCCTTTTATATTGTTGGGCTATTTTATCTCTTTTTTTTTTCTCTTTTTTTTTTCCTCTGTATCTTGGATTTATTTTCAGCGTCAATATCAATGTTCATTTTCATCTCATCTACTCGAGAGATCTCAGCCTTTTGGCACCCCACGTTTTGTCAGTGAAGCCTGGGTTGACAGTCCCAATGCACCATGGAGCCATATTCCTTGGCATCGTGTTACCATGTACTCTATACGGAGTACTTGAGCAGGGCAACCAAGAGAGGAAGCTGTTGGCATTTCTTCCTTCATCTCTGGGAAGGACGCAAAGAGGTCGATAACCACAAACTCATGGTCAAAGAGATCAGTCGCCTTTGTCTTATCTTTTTTTGTCCGCCTCTTACTTGATCCCAATTCGGCCACCATGGGGAGAGTACGGAACAGTTCAGAAGAAACCAGAGTCATGGGACGTAACGTACGCCCTACTCCTTAGAAAGTGGCCACAGTCTGTCATATCGGCCACTTGCAAAAAGGAGAAAGGTTATTCGTCTCAGCGTTGAGCAAGTTGCGATTCAGAAGGCAGACTGAAAGGCTGATTCAGGGGTATGACTTCCAACAAACAAACGACCGGCCTGTCAAACCCCAAAACATCCCCCAAGACCCGAAAGACGAAGAAGCAACCGGGTAAAGGTGGGACTCGGGGTGGAGGTGACATGAGCTTGAGAATTAAAAATGGAAAAGGCTGAACACAAGGTTGAACGGCGAGGGCGAGATGTGGGACGATCGATGATATACTGCTTTGTCCAATACTGAGCATAGAAACACGGAGTGTGATCTCTTTTACTTGTGAGCACATGGTCTGTACCGAGTAGAACCACAGCAGTCCGACATTTGGCCGAGGAGAGACAGAATGAGTCAAGAGTCCAAGGCGGTAAAAGACAAACGGCCAGGCTACATTGAGGGGTGAAGCAAAGGCGATGCGCCCGTGGGATGGCGGGATATGCAGGACAAATAGGACAACTAGGACAATCGGACACATACCGTGTTGGGACGCGTGAGTGGCAGGACAATACACAATATTCGGAGATGATTTGTCCCTGCTTACTTTTTCGGCTTTTGGCGCGTGCCTCCCGTCTGCCGAATACAACCCCTTGGCGAGCCGCCTATGGTTGATGTCTTGATGTCTATTGATTTCTTGACTGTTTGAAAATGTTTGCAAATAGGACAATAGATAGAGCGGGTGGTTCTTTTTTCATTTCATTTTTTTATTATGCGTGCACACGAAATAGGTTAGTCTGCTTTTCCGAATCCTGTTGAGAAAGTCCTGGATGTACAACATACGATGCAGGCATGTCGTATGTGCACGTCGTATGTACTTAGTTTCAATGGGTAGGAATCCTATCTGCACGGCCCCATGACTTTACCCAAGGTTTGCCGCGGAAGTAGGAAACGTACCTCTCTCCTTTGATTTTTTTATTAATTTCTTTCGTCTTCGTTCTTTATGACAGAGTGTCATGACGACTGTGGATGGTTGCACATGGTTGCTGCCTAAGGAGATATCGTTTCTTTTGGCCCATTTTTTTTGAACCCCTGACTTATGGGGAAGACCCCACAAGGCCCAAGGCAGCAGGCCGCCCTGACAATTACCTTCTGAATCTATTTAATTCTTTTGATTATCAGAATGGAGCTTTGTGTCGTTAACTTTTCCTCTTCCGGACATTTATCGAGCTCTTATTCCGCCTTAGTGAACATCCTGCCAGTGAAGTTAAGTCCTCAATTCGGATGCACAGACCGAGCGGTACACTTCCTACCAAGAGATGCAAGTTGTGAAAAAGAGGAACGCAACCTGGGTCAATTAAAAAAAAGCACAGAAGATGGACTACTTATTCCAGAGTTGGTTAGAACCATTGCATCCACTGACGCGAACGCGAGACCCAGCGAAACTGAAGCACGACGTTTTTTGCAGAACAATGCCTTTTGTCGTCTTGTGATGACAATAACAGGACCAAGTTACAATGGGTGGTGAACAAAGGGACGAGTAAAGCTCCCCGTTATGTGACCCCCGTGGTCGAAGCGAAGTGCAAGCAAGATGGAAGGATGGAACGACTGCAAGCCTATGGGGAAGCAAGCAGATTTTCGATATGGAGATTCTAAGATATGAGAATATAGAATAGAGGTACGCAAAGAAGAACACAGCAATGGAGAGGGCGACACAAGTGCGCGTAAAAGTACAACGTCCTCTTTTTCTAATGTGGATCGCGGGGAATGTGAAAGAGAGGATTTCTCAGGAGGGTTCGAACCGACAGCAAAAACCTACGTAGAACATGTAGCCAAAAATAAATCACATCAGAGAGCCAAAGAGAGAGAAGAGAGAGAAGAGAGAGAGAGAGAGAGGTAAGTAATCGATGGAGACAAATCGGGGGAGACACTCCAAGGTAACATGATATGGGGGTATAGAGCTTGCCAATCAAAGCTAGAAAGGAGGATATCTCTTTTTTTGCTGCTTTTGTCCCTTGGACAGCACTCGGCAGTGGTATGCCTGGCGTGGTAGTCGTCCCAGGACAACGAAAAGGAAAAGAATAGACTCGAATAACAAAACCAAATACACCAATGGTGTGTCAGAGGAGGGAGGGAGACCGAAAAAAGCCCATGAGAAAGCCCCGAGGAACAGCTAAATAAAGCAACCAAACAAAATGTAAAATGAAACGCCGATAAAAATGTCCCCTGTTATTATGTCAACCCCCAAAAAAAAACGAACATCCCTTGCCAGCCCTGCCATGAACAATGCAAGCGTGAAGGGAAAATAAGTATTTCCCCCCCTTCCAAATAAAATAAAATGACAAAATGATAAAAATCAAAAATAGTCGCATGCCCCATAGTTTAGTCGTAATCGTCGTTTCCGTGTACCTTTTTTTTGGTAGTAGTTTCTCGAAGAAGAATGTCTTATGCGTAGTAGGGATGTGATCGAAGTGGATATCAGACAAGAGGAGAGAGTGTGAGTCGTGTGGAAGGGGAGGTAATGTATTAGTGGAAACGGTGAACAAGAAGAATTCGGGACGAACGTTGACGGTCAGGCGGTGTACTGCTTAAGCCTCGTAGTCGTAGTAGAAGGAACCGTCGTCGTAGTACTGGTCGCCTTGGGAGGCGGTTGCCTGTGTGAAGTCGCTGCTGCTGCGACTGCTCCCGCGGCTGTCACTCGCACCGCTGCTGCTGTAGGAGTAGGCCTGGCTACCGTCATCAGCCATGTAATAGTAGGCCCCCGTAGGTGCCGTTGTACCTGCGAGACCAGCCATGGCGGCGGCGGAAGAGACAGCCACGCTCGAGGGCACAGTGGAACCGGCACTGCTGCTGCCGCCACTGCTGCCGTGGGCATAGACCGTCGCGGTGTCGTCAAAATAGTACTCGGACATGGAGCCACCGCCATGCCGGCTGCCGCTGCTGTGACGGCTGCCGCTACCGCCGCCGAGAGACTCGTGGCCTTTGGCGACCATGAAGCGCATGCTGGGGCCGCCCCAGGGCACACCCGAGAGCTGGTCGTCGACACTCAAGTCATCAGGGCCCGGGACCTGGTAGCTGCTGGCGGCGTGTTCTTGGTTGCGGGACTCACGCTCAGAGCGCTCCTTCTGCTCGCGTGCCTTTTCGCCTGAGGATGTTAGTGCTTGATGCCTCATGCTAAGCGAGCGCAACGACAGACGGCCAAACTTACGAAATTTTCGCTGAGCAATGCGGTTTTGGATGCGGCGGCGCTCTTCCGGGTCAGTAACTTCGCTCCAGTCGTCGCTCTTCTTGCTCTTGCCGGATGACGCTCGTCGACTGCTGGACGAAGTCGGTTTTGAGGATCGTGTAGCGAACATGTTTGCGGTGCTGGTGGTGGAATCGTCTCGTGCAGATGAAGCCGACGAAGACGCTGTACTACGTCCTTTGGCTCGCTCTTTGCCTTTGCTCTTTTTTCTCTTGCCTTTTGCTTGAAATGACTCCCGTTCGGTGTCGGAGCCAGAGTATTCAAGCTGTTGTTGCTGAGACTGGAATATGGCGCGGGGCGTCGTGGGCTCGTCTGCGTCTTGGTCGTATTCTGGTGTTGTGTTAGATCGTTGTTGGGAGCTTGTATTGCTTGGATGGCGAGATGCCTTTGCGTTGTGGTGTGGTATTTGACCAGAGGACATTTAAGAGAGTGGATGAAGAAATAGAAGAAAGTGGGAGGTAACGGAGGACGACGAGGCAAGGAAAGAAAACAAGAAAGAAACGAAGGAAGGAAGAGCAAAATATAAATATATTTAGAGAAAAGAAGGTGAGAGTGACAAAACAAAAATAGACAAAGCCAGTAAGGCGTTGGAAGGTGTGAAGGCCAGTGTGTAGAGAGAGAGAGTGTGTGTAAAGAAATAGAAACGCACAAATAGAGAACAAAAATTGAGGTAGATAGATCTTGAGGTAGGGTAGAGGAAAGTGATATATATGTACGCGGCTTAGAATTTAGGTTAGTGGGATCCATGCAAGTGCACTGGCGTGTATCTGCGTCGCAAATGGGGGTGGGTGTGTGACGCAGGTGAAGAATAGGCAAATCTGAGGGGAACAAATCGTTTGCGTGCAAGTATTTTCTATATGAAAAACCTCCAAAATAATAACAGTAAAACATAGGCAAGGCTCGTGGATATGGGTCTGGACTAGGTTGCTCTTGTGTAGGACTGAACTGGGTAGAAAGTGGAAGAGAGAATGGGCGAGTAAAGTGAATAAATAGAGTTTCTTCTTCTTCTTTTCTGCTTGGGCTGGGGTGTGGGCACGTTCTGACTCTTTCGATTTAGTCTTGAGTTTTTTCTTCTTCTTTGGTCTGAGCCTCTCGATTTGACTCTTCGAGAGCATCTTGACTCTTTTATATGTCTCTCGGCAACCGTTGTTCGTCGGTCTTGTCCACTGCGTCCAAAAGTGGCCCCTCAACTACCGTCGAGGATTCCAGAGTTGTCGTCATTCGTCTCCGTCCCCCCACGACCGTGGTATGGCTCATTTTCTGTTGTTCTTTTATCCATCCTTTTTGTTTGTAATAAAAAGAGAACAAGAGAAATCGATAAATAGCCATAGAGACAAGATTAGATGCAGCAGAAGGGTCGAGAAAGGCTGAGGCACCTGTCATTGCGTGGAGCACGTTCTCAAAAGAGCAAGATGATCAAAGTCGATGTACAACAAAGCTTGACTCGTGACGCACCACCATCTCGACCCGTCTTGTTTCCCCTGACTATGACGAGGCCTAGACAAGACAATGGTGATGAGAGTGGAGAGAAATGAGGACCCAAATGTCCAATGATAGCTTGAAGCTTAGTTTAAAGAAGAAAGGACGAAGTGGAGGGGGTGTGCGGCTGGTTGGAGGTCGACGACGACAACAGGCAAGGCTATGGGGATGACGACGACAGATCGAGAAGGCAGCAAGCAATCGACACTCGGCATCGTACCTGGACCTCTCATTTTGGCCGCTCCGACAAAGCGGCTACGGGTAAGGCGGGAGGGAAGGGGGGAAGGAGGGTGTGGAGAGGTGTGACGACAGGGATGTTCGACTAAGGTTAAAGACAAGAGAAGACGCAGAGACCAAATTCACGTAGTGAAGAAATGAGAGACAGAAGTTCGAACCAGTGTGTTGTCGATGATGCTTACCAGTTTAACGAGAGGCAATGCTTTGTTGTGGGCGAGTGATGCGGTTGATGTGTTCAAGCGTTGAACTAGCAGAGAGGTAGGCTGGGCCGACAAAATAAGCGTTGCAATTATATCAGACCCGAGAGTTGAGGTGAAGGCCGACAGCGAAGGACGGTAAGAAGTAGGATACGTGTTCTGCTAGGTGGCTGTAAATATCACAGATCGAATAGAACAGAAGCAGAAAGTAAATGAAACATGGAAGGGACGAGGAAAGAAGTTAGAAATATGAGGGAGGCTAAGCTAAGTTGAAATGTCGTCAGGGGAAAGGGACCAGGGGAGAAAAAGAATAAAAGAATAAAAGAAAGACGAGCTGAGGAGGGGGGGGGGTGGTAAGGCGATGGAGCCTGGCCACGAGGGGGGTGTGCTTATGAAAGCAGCCGTACAACGTACAAGCTTCTTTGCATCTCGTGTACTAGCACACTCGTGTTTGAGAACTGGAAAAGGACCTCGCAAAGACAGAACCCACAAATGGCAATGGAGTGTGGCAGTTTCTTTCGAGAATACCAGAACATCACATGAGACTTGAGATGAAAAGCCGCGGTGTCGATAGCAGTGTCGGAGGAAAGGGAGAAGAAGCAGAAGAAGCAGAGGAAATTTGAGCTGCAGAAGTAGTGATTTCGATGATGACGACACGATGGCACCAAAAAGTCTGCCTAAGGATATTATCAAAGGTGTCGAAACTGCAAAAGGTGCAATGTCAACCGGAGCCCGAGTAGGATGCAATGGAGGACACGGTCATGCACCCGTTACATACAACATACAATAGGACGGAGTTAGGAGTAAAATGGGGAGTTTGGCGCCGTGAACCGAACAAACAAATTATCGAACAAACGGTCAGGAAGAACGAAGCGAATGCTGAGCGCTGACCATGAAGTTGCGAGCGAAAACATTCCACGCGAGACGACAAGCAGGGACGAAATTCCCGATGGAGTGAGACGTGAAAGTTTCGAACAAAACAAACCAAAAAGAGCAAATGAATCTCTAACAATCTCCATCCCTCAAAACAGAAGGAGAACAAGCATAGAAGGTAAAAAGAAAACACGGTAAATTAAAGGCAAACATAGAGGACATGGGCCGTATGTAGAGGCGGGAGAATGTATTGCGTGTGCAGCGAAGGCAGCGAAATAAACAAGACAAACAAGGGGTGGGCCGGCGCGCAAGCTTTGCTGGTAAGAAAGGAGCCCAGCTATTTTGGAGAAAGCAGAGGTTCGCTTTGGAGTGAGCGCAAGCGGAGATGAGATGCAAAGGCTGGCGGATGCCACAGCCACATCGCTATGTGAACTGACCAGGGGGTGAGGGCAGTGGGACTCGTTGTGTGGACAGAAAAGGCAGAGAATCAAAGTATCAAAACAAGCACGTAGGCATGCCCAAAGATTGTAATTACATACCGGTAGGAAATGCGAAGAAGATGAATTTGGAAAAAGAAAATTGTAGGAAGAGAGAGCAGATCTGACGATGATTAAGGTGGAAGTAGAAAAGGGGGAACCAATGGGGCCAGAAAAGTGTAAGTAGGAAAGAGCCGAGTGAAGACTTATCAGATGCCGGCAGGAACGATGAAGGGCACGTTGACGGCTCTAGATCTTTTTCTTGCTTTAAGTATGTACGACCTTCGTTCCTTCCCGGAGTTGATCCCGAACGGAAGGAGCAATCGAGCGGAGGAATAGGGCAGGCGCAGGAGGAGGAAGGATTTCAAGTTTGAAAGGCTGCTTGACAATGCAAAATAGAACAAACACTCAAAACACTCAAACGCATGGGAAGACAAGAGAACGAACGGCACGAGGAACAAAGGAAAGACTGTTGAACAGGAACGGAACGCAGCCGCGGTAGCGGTGGCCTGCATGCGTGTAGGGTTGTCTACGAACCTTGGGCCTATTGACTGCCTCTCACGCGAATTGAAGATGCGGCCATTGACAAGGAAATCGGAAACCCGAAGCACCGGACGGCGGACGAGGAACAGGGAACCGGTTTTAAACACGCGTTTAGGAAAGTCAAAAGCCAAGAAAAGAGAACTCCGCTGAAGCTGGCATTCCCATACGACGTTAAACAGAACTAAGACAAGCGAAAGGGACAAAAAGGAAAAGGGACTGAAAAGCCCAAAAGACCACATGCCCAGTCAAAGAGTACCGTCCGAAATCACGGTATTGGTTCGTCCATGGTGCACACCAAGGAAGACTTTTGCCAGCCGAAATGGGCTGGTGGACAGAAAGGGGGGCACCGTGTTAGTCACATCGGACAAGGGTGTAACACCATACGACGTTTGGAGTAGCCCACAAGAGCGACGGACCAGGGCCATAGATGGATGCTAGGGTAGGTGTGCAACATACTGCCGCCGCAAAAGCACCGGGACGTGGAGACGTCGGAATGGTGGAATCGGCGAGAGTCGTACGGGAAAACAGAAGAGGTAAGTTTCAATACGAAGTACGCACTGGCAGTGCAGCAGTAATTGCATTGCCTTTTCGACCAGTGACTACTCGTTCTGCATCATAATGCGCAGGCAGCAATGTTTCCAAGTGCGGCTATGGCTGCTTGCTACACTTATGGACAAAGAAGCACCATTCATTATACTGTGAAAGACGAAAGACGGCAATACGACTTACATGAAAGATAGACGGGCAAGAAATATTACCAAATCGGCACCGAGCTGCAACAGACACAGCCCGCGCCCTGCCACGCCCAGCGACATTCCCGTCATAAATATGATTGATTCTTCGCTGCAACACCCGAATCGAACCGAGCAAAACCTTTCCAAGACTTGGAAGGCTACAAAAGACATTCACCACGTCCGTTTCATTTCCATGCTCAAGTCCATTGGAGCAATGGAGCACGGGGAGGTCGCACCTGGACTCTTCTCGAAAAAGCTCACCAGTGAAGGCTAGTCATGGATTGTCGCGGGTTCAGACAGGCGGATTCCAGAAGAAGAAGAAAAATGGGCACGAAAGATGGAGACGACCACCTGACAAGCCTCGACAAGAACTGAGTTTTGATGAGCCCGTTTGAATTGTAACGGCAAAGCAGCGTGTTTTCTACGACATACTGAGTACGACAGGGCAGTCTCTGAGAACTTTTGTACATCCTCTACCATGAACCATCTTGCCCTGTAAGGAGTACGGGTTACTCAATGGAGTTTGGTGTAGGCCGATGAACTCTCATTTGCATGACACTGTAATTCGTACGGGAACTGCATATTCGCATTCTCATTTGTTCGGGGCGCGCGAACATAAGCACGCCGTCGTGTTGATAGACCGGTTTTGTGGTGGGTGCCGTTTAGGATTTTGAGTGTCTCTGTGTCTGTGGGCTGGCCAGTGGGCCAGGCTAGCCAGACCTCGCTGCCAGCCCCAAAGGATTCTCTATGTCCTGTTGACAACCATGGGCAAAGTATTTAACACCGAGTTTGGACAAACATAACATGAAACCGTTCGGAGGAAAGAAAATGGTAAATTCCATAACCGTTGCCACCCCGTCGAAGTCCCGTGCTGAGAACTGCTCCCCCTCCTTAACATCCAGAAATGCGTCGCAGAAGCCTGGCCTGTTTGAGAACGCATCGACGTCGATTAGGCATCCATCTTCTTCTGGGTGGTTGGACTGCCGAGCCTCAGCCAGGGTCAGGGGCCCATGGGCCAAAACAAGCGAGGGATGTAGACAACCACTGGCGCTGGGTGAGAAAGTAGAAAGACAGATTTTGGTAATGTCGTAGGGCGTAATTACCGCGTAGGATGATTCACAGGAAGCGTATCATCGTGTGAGCAGACTTTTTACACAGGACGTGCTTGGGACAAAGGGAGCAGCCTTTTTTTCTGGGCAGGCAAATAAGGTTTGTTGGAGCCGCCGACCTTTCGTTCCGTGTCACTTTGTCAAAGTTTCTTGTGTATGTGTGCGTGGCTGCCATGGCGTACCAAACCTCATAATTACTTAACACAGAACTCCAAACGCCTTACCGAGTCTGCCGTCCTCTACGACTCGCGGGGAAGATTCGTTCCGGGCGCCGAGCGATCGCAAACGAACAAAATGGCGAAGATGCGAGGTGCGAAATGCGAAATGCGCAAATACGATTCATGTTGGAAGGGGCCGAGCCACAGCACACAATCAATATTAATGTACAGTCCGGTGTCTTATCTGGGGCGCAATGGGCAGCAGTGGGCAGCAGTCATTGGCGAGATCGGCCTGACATACACGAAGCTTAAAAGCCCCTTGAAAGACACTTGGAAGCCACTGAAAGGCTAAAATATGACCTTAGGTGAGAGATGGTCAGGAAACGATTATAGGATTCGGGGATTTGGGAGAATTCATGATGGCAAATATGGAAACGAAAACACCGAGAATCGGTGAGCAGTCGCAAAATGACAATCGAACACGGGCAGAACTAAAAAACCCAACCCGGAATAGAAGGTGGCTAAAGCCAGGAAACCAAAAAGGCTCCACGGTGAGAGCGACGTCGATCCAAGAACAGGATACGGTTACGTTACGGATGACAGGCAGCACACGACAGACAACAAACGGCGGGCCGCAGATGACAATCTTTGCCATAAAGTCGAGATTCTGTGAACATTTCATCAGCCACAAAATGTCAGCAAATAATACGTGCAGAAACATCAAAGTTTTCTTCGCCATGCTCTCACGTTACATACTGTTCTAAGGGCTTAGTCGTGCTGATAATACCCCCGACATTAGATTTTCTGCAGAGAATGGAGGATCCCTACGGCATATTAGAAGGCTTCTGGTTGGTTCCGGTACGCGAATGCTCGGCTTTTTCCAGGAAAGAAAGGGGGCGTTCCCTATGTCCCGTGGTCGTGCAAGTTGCGTCCCAAGGCTGGCCAGCCTCATAGAAAGTGGGATGGTGTGGAGAGTGTGGTGGGTGCGTTAGGAAGAAATCGCGATGGGGCAAGAAAAAGTAAAGGACGTCGCCGGAAAAAAATATGAAAATATATGCGTATGCGTGAAATTCCCCCGGCAGTAATAATCATCGTTATACGTCGCATTTACACCGAGAATTACACAGAGTGTACAGACTCGTGCAAAGAACCATTCAAAGAACGTGGGGAAAGAGACAGGATAACCAGAGACGAGAAGAGGTGCCGTGGTTAGCACCTTGTGCAGCTCAGGCTCGTGAAGAAAGCTTGCGTCGCGCTCTTTTTCTGAATACCTCAGTACTGGACTGTGTTGGTCAGGCTGTGGACGCAGAGTTTAAAACTGCAAAAAGTCACAAAGAACAAAGTACAAAGTATGTTTCTTACAAAGCACTCCCCTCCAATTTTAAACGCTTATTTTTAAATCGTTTTATTTTCGTCTTGTCCTTGCTTGTCCCCTTGGCGCTGTAACCTCTCTAGTCTTGGGCCCTCGCTTAACGGATAGCCACATTGGTCCACGATGTAAGCGTTTACCTTTCAAGCAGGTCATGAAGGAGCGTTTCTCTGAATCACAACAAGTTCTGTTGCGTGCAATGCACGAAATAAATAAAAATATATAAATAAAACTTGTTTCATAGGCTCCTGCGTTGGGCGTCCAATACGGTTCGTTTCCGAGTGACGTTGGATTCGTTGTGCTGAGATTAGACGCCATCTCCAGCACAGCCTCGAGGATTAAAATGAGCATCAACACAAGGGGTTCCATAGAAACACATACGACGGTCACTGAGTATGGTAGATGTTCGATATAGTACTCCATACCCCGTACAACGACCTCCAGGCAGCTCCTTTAAAAGTTCCGACATGCAACTTGATGACGAACGCGCTCTGAATGCCTTGGGCGCTCGAGCCTGTGGCTGATTAAAAACAGAAACGAAAGATACAAAGGTACAAGCGGCACGAGCAGTTGCGAAACACACTGGGCGACTTGAAAGGGCCAAACCTTAATCGGACGTTTACTCTTTTAGTGCGATGTGGGCTTGTCAGGATACGAAATACGACACAAGTCGAAACAAAGTTGAACATCTGGGACGCGAACGGTTCTGGCCAGAACGTGCCTCTTGGCAACAACATGCGACCTACATAAAATGAGTTTTCCCCAATTCCGTGCCAACAATGACGCTCGAGACAAGACACAAGTCAAGTTGGCCGAAACGAGGGAAACGAAAGGTGACAAAAACGAAAAACGAAATGAGACGAGGCAGTGCACTTTGGTCACCGTTGGTAAGACCTGTACATACTTGGGAGTTTAGTTTGAGAGACAGCATTCAGAACTAAAGGCAAGGACACCCTTTTTGCATGGCTTGCTTGAAAACGAGACGGGATGAGGAAAACAAAGCAGACAGACTCGGAGCAAGAACCCAGATCGGAGCTAGAACAAAAGAAGGGAAAGTTCACATCCCCAAATGCCCCAAACTCCCAAACGGGGGTTCCACCCTCAACCCCTGTCGACGGCGCAAACCGGCGAGGTCGCCGCTTAACCGTGTTAGACCCAACGCAGGCCACTGCCAGGTGACGTCGTTTTGGGGGTATGTCGGGGGAGACTGTTACGAGCCGGGACCTTTGGAGGTTGGAAGGCATTGCTTCGAACATGGATGACGAAAACAAGAAAAAAAGAGGAAATGAAAAAGAAATGACGGGTGGACTACAAAGGAACAACGGGAAGGGTGAATCAGGGTGAATCAGGGTGAATCACGGAGAATCAGGGACAAACAGGCACGGCGAACTTCCCAAAGGGGTGAAAGAGGCTGGCAAGGCTGCATGAGAGGTGTCGCTGATAAAAATTTGGGCTGTCACAAGACCAGTCAGGACGAAGAGAAGTCGGGCAGCGGAAGGGACAGGAGAGGACGGGCGACTGCGCGGGAGGACAAAGGACAGGAGACGGCCGGACAGGAATTGGACTCTGGACCGGTCGACCACACCCCCAACTTTAACATTGACAAGGGTTTGCTCGTCGGAGGGTGTGTCCACGAGGCTGTTGACAGAGGGATGGGAAAAGCCACCCCAACGTTACCGAAAGTCGACTTTGACGGGGCCAACAGAGACGCGACAGGCGACCCGATGCACCCCAAAATGCCACCCACCTTGCTCGCTGCGTCCGTCTGGTGCGTCGCGGTACCGCTGTCGAAAACGTGGAATGCGGTAGAGTGAGGCTTTGGACTTCGGGACACTTCAGCGTGCACAAGGCACCATGCAGAATGCCATATGCACCATATTTAATTGTGGGAGACTAAAAGACAAGAAGTCCCACCAGATGAGTCACTGCCGGAGATGTTTCGACGTATGTATGCATGCCAATGCCTGCCGCGGGTGTGAGCGGACTCTTTCTGGCATTCATCCCCGTCCGTACATCGTCGTGCCGGCGGAAATGCGGAGTTGATGTGCACGATGGCGTTGCCAGTATGACGATGTTTTGCTACACAAGTCGATTGGGGTCGTGAAACGCAAAATGCCCATACGTCGTTTAGTCAGTTGTGTCACTGGTAATTGCGACCTGCCGGCCAGCACCAGAACATGGGAAGTCACATTGCCTCAACGCGAGTCCCCCTATCAGGTCTTAGGCTCACCGATCGTTCCTTCTGCACCAGTCGCCAAATCCCTCAAGCCTTGCCAGAGAAAGAAGGCACGACGACAAGAAGACGCGAAGAAAAAGGAAAGAACCCTAGCGTCCCTCGTTCCTTCTGTGTCTCCAGTTCGTTCCCCGACACCCCCACCGCTCAATTGGGGCACGAGTCGTGCCTTCCAGCAGTTGAAAAGGCGGGATGTCGACAGAAACGCTGCACACCAAAAATGTTGCTGCCTAACACGCGAGGCTTTGGCCCCGTTCCTTTCATCCTCGCAACATCACATCCCCCACAACAGACACGCCCAAGGGGTTGTTCGACACGCCCACACAAACGGCTCGAGAGACAACGTGCAAACCACAGTGAAGATTCTTACAGTTTCACGCACTGGCGTTCACATTCGATTTACGACAAAACACCCGAGACGGACCTTTACAGTACACCGCCGGTCGACAGATCCACCCGAGAAACGGGCATGGCGGGCCAACACGATTATGCTAACGAGCTCTGGGAGTCATAACTGCCCCCAGAACGGGACCGTTTTGGTTTGGCGGAGTCCAGCTCCATTTTCAAATTGGGGCTTCCCTAATGGGCAAAGTACACCGCGCGGAATATACCCAGTCACAGCAGATGGCGAGAATAGGAAAATGAGCAACGAGCTCCATTGCAAAACGTACCAATAGGGCCACCCGTCCAAATAACGACACGGCCGTTCTAAAAAATAAGCAGCGGCGGCCGGTACTTACATCTTGCCCGTGTCCGACGGACGCGCCTACCGACTTTCTCTCTCTCTCTTTCACACACACTCTTTCCAGTTTCTAGCTTCCAGCATCCCCCCTCACTACTCGACACATCTGGCCCGTTTTCCCAACTTTTGTTGGAAGCTCCCCCCCTTTCTTTTTGTTCTGCTCGTCACCTGTGTGCGTCAGAGTCGACGTACGCATGGACACGCAGACACGTGCTTGATGCTTGTTTCCACAGGCGCGACACGCTCCCATCGAATCCATGGAAATAACAAAAAAAAATGATGTGCACGTCCGGCCCAAGTGGGAAGCGCAAGGCAGCGACCATTTAGAGTGGCCGTTATGGTGGGCAAGTGCTGACGAAGGCGCCGCGTCGATGCTATCTTGCTCAATGCAACGGGGTGTGGCTTGTATCGTTTACTTGGTTGTCTTCTTCGTCTTCCGTCTCACTTCATGATGGACTAGACATGTTGCGCACGATGCACGATGCAAGCGCATGGTTGTAGTGCAGCCACGGTAGTACTGCCCGCCGCGTGTACTGCAGAGGAAGAGGCCATTGTTGCCTCGTCTCGATGGATGGCATCGTCACTGTGTTGCAGAATTGTTGGCCGAGCATCTCAAAAAAAGCCTTTGGTGCCTTGATGCTTCGTGGGACGGTCGTCATCGGACGCATCACGCATTCTCACTGCCTGCCGCCATGTTGCCGGCCTGGTCTTCATACGTCGTCCATAGTCCGAAAATCGCCAACGAATCTTTGTCTCAAGTCAGCCATGACTGTATATCGCCATGGCATCGCCATACATCGCTATGAGCTTCCCAAGATGACGTTATTTTGTGGGTTGGCAAGTTTCAACCTGTATCCGACATGTGCCTAAGCCCTGGCCCCAGTATGGCCTCAGCCTTGCCACGTATTATGTAGTAATTGTGCACACCTCCTTCCTCAGACCACGTCCATGCCAACTAATGATTGATCCATGCTTTCTAATATCGCGCGTATCCACGAATGAGAGTCCTCCATTTCTCTCCCCCGGCATCTGCAGACACAAGAGAGGCGAGAGTGGCAAGACAAGATGGAAAAAAGCAAGGCCTCATCTGGAAGGAGTGAGCTTAAAAAAGTGGCATGCTGTCTCACGTTTATGCCGGACGGAGGATCGTTGTGTAGGGCTGAGCCAGGCAGACATACGATTTCAACGGTCAAATGCCACAGACCAGGCCGGAACGGCGACAAAATAACTGGAAGACGTGCTGGCGTGTCTTACGCTACCATTTTGTGAGCAACCAATTCAGAAAAAAACAAATACGGAAAGAAAATCGTACTCATAAAACAAGGCAGAAAACAAAACGGAAGGCCTTGTCGTGCTTCGGACGGTCCATCCCGAAGCCTTGGCTATGGGACGTGCTTCTGTTGGACAAGGTAGAGATGGAGCTTACGAAAGCCTCAAGCAGCCGCGTCACGCCAGGCAGCAAGGCTGTTCTTTTCACTCCCGGGGTTTCTTGGGCTGCTTGGAACAGTTGTGAGGCAACGGGCAATCTGACGCAATGCCGTTACATCTTCCTCAAAAAAGAACCGGCCAAGAATTGAGAGTTTCCGAGACGGCGGTTCTTGTTTCCTTCGTGTATGCATCCGGGAGGTCACCCCTCTTTCATTCGCTGTGCACGAATCACTACTCTGTATCGCTTGGCACAGGGAGCTGTCGCTGTCGCCGTCTTGTCTTACCCCTGGATCCAGACGGTACTCGTGCGACTTTTCCACCTCTTCGGAACCTTCTCCGGGCCCGGGCAATAGACCCCAAATCTGCCTTTCCCAAGATAGATGCGCCAATAACGTGGACAACCTCCGTGGTCACTTGGATGGAGGACACGCTTGTCTCACACAGGCTTAGTTGCCCGTCTGTGTCATTTGTCTCGTAAAACACAGTGACAAAAATAGAAGGCTTGTTGTATTTTGGAGGTTCTATTGCACCGAATGACCTTTTGACTATATGAGTTTTGTAATGTACAGGATAATACGACTTGCTTTTTTGTTTTGCTCGAAAAACGTACACGCCACTAACGGATGGGCCAGAGCCCGCTTAGAGGCCTGATGCATGCAGCAGAGCCTCGCGCGCCGCCCGGCGCTCGGCGACGCGGCGCTTGAAGCGGACCTCGGCCTGGCGGCGCTCACCACCGTCAATCTTGCGGCCGCGCTTGTGCTCCCACATGCCTTCCGTCAGCTTCACGGCCGAACCCTCTTGCTGTGGCCGTGGCAGCGCATAGGGGCCCGCGATGGCTCGGGCGCCCACCACCTTGTAGCCGCGCACGAGCACCGGCCGAGCGTTCAAATCGTAGCCAGGATCCACCGCTACAGGCTCAGCCGCAGCTGGACCCTCACCCTCACCCTCACCCTCACCCCCACCCTCAGTCGCCTCGGCGGCGGCTGGCGCCTCGGGTGGTACCGGTACATTCGCCACCATCTTTTTTACATTGATGGGGTTCTCCGGGTCGACCAGCTCGTACACCCGCAGCTCCGCCACGCCGTTGCGCACAAACTGGAAATCGCCGCCGATGCCAAACCGGCCCTCGCGGAACAGATTGAGCCATCGCAGCAGGTACCGCCGATCGCGTGCGGGCTCCACGCCCAACGAGCGCAGCTGCCTCGACGTCAGCGTGAAGAGCGCCTCCCAGGTCGGGAACTTGGATGTGTGCTGCTTCATGTTGCGACCAATAATCTTCAAAAAGCTCGCGACGTCGGGGACAAACGGGATCGGGTCCGGCACATGTTTGGACGCTGGTTTTGAGGTTGTGGAAGGCGACGAGGAGGGGAACGAAGAGGACGAAGAGGAGGCGAACTCGAGATGGGAAGACGCGCGCAATGGCGCGTGCGGAGAGGCGGCGAAGAAAAGAGAAGGAGCGGAGGAGAAGGGGTGTGCAAAGAGCCGCGGCTGGCCGGTCGATGCAGATGTGGTGTCGACGGCGCAAGCAGCCAACCGAGACGGCGCGGCGGCGACCACGCGGCCGAGGGGCGCTGGTCGTATTCTTCGCAAGGAGTTCATGCCTGTCGTTCTGTGCGTGGTACTGTTGACGACAAAGAATGCGTAGAGGCCGTTTTTGTTAGTGCTCTGTGCCTCGTCGAGCTTCAATTTGGAAACCCGTAAAAAAAAAGCAAACAGCAAAAACAGTGGCAGAAGTAAGTTTGGAAGCTATACTCACGTGAGGGACACCGGTTGTAGCAATTGGGTACGTGCAAGTACAATTGGCACGCAAAAAGAAAGCAAAGACAGGCGGACTCGTTGGTGCACCGTCGGTCGTTGTGCGGCTGCTCGTTGCGCCGTGCGGTCGTGTGCACCGTTTCGTCGTCGTTCGTGATGCTCAATGGCCTTCCACGCCCCAGAAAAAAAGTGAGCTGTTTGGCGCGAGACGGAAGCCGCCAATTGGGGAACATTTGGCCGGAAGGAAGATCTTAGTTCCGAAGGCTACTTACTCCGGGGCACCTTCCTTGCAGCCGCATGTTGTTGGGCTGGCCCCATTTATTTTGCCAAGGCTCTCGAGTGCTAAAGTGGCAAGTGCAAAGGTGCATTGACTGCCACAACATTGACTCTCATGTACTGCATCTCCCGTTGTTAAGACAAAGACAAAGCGTGAAAAGAATAACATTCGTAAAAGTAGCGTGGCTATTTAAACTCCGAATTCCAACCACAAAACAGCGACTGGCATGGCATCCGACGATATACTATATATGGCCCGTCGCACTCGCAGCCGCACTGCTTACTTGGCCGGCGACGACAGGGTGGATGCTGACTGAGGAGGCATATGATGGTCATTGGGAACCGCATCGGGATCGTCGCCGTGCTCGGCCTCCCGGTTGATGGCCTGCGGAGGACCGGTAGCAGGCTGTGGGTCTTTGGTGCGAGAGTCGTTCCGTCCTGGGACGAAGACGTACATGGGAAACTCAAGCAGCAGGGTGCGTTTGACAACGACGGGCAGTCGCGCATACAGGGCCGGCGGCATCGGGAAGAAGATGCTGGTGCGGTGCAGGTACAGGCGGTACTCGTCCCAGATGGCGCCGCCGGCTGCGCATCGCTTGGCGGCGCCCGACCGCTCCGACAACGGCAGACCCGTTACGAACAACAGCACCAGCGTGAGCAAGACCGGACCGACAACGGTGGCATAGATGGCCGACGCAAAGCCGGGATGCGTACCGTAGGGGGCGCGAAAGTGGGTGTCGGACGTGGCAATGGTAAAGAGGCCAAATTGCAGCAAGATCTCGCCGAAATAATTTGGATGGCGCGACCACGCAAAGAGGCCTGTGTGGCAGAACGCAAGCCCGCTGTTGCTATTGTCGGCTGATTTTCTCACCCTGAACCGAAACCGCTGGGCGTCGGCCACGGACTCGCACAAAAAGCCAATGCCGAACATGATCGTCCCGGCAATGTCACGCGCCGTGCCGAATGGCGGCATCTTTCCCGCCTGCTCGGCGCCCTGCACGGTCTGCGAGTTGAGCACGGTCACGGGCAGCGATGCTGTCCAGACCCAAACCATCTGGCCGACCCAGAACTGCAAAAGGGGGAAAAAGCGGTCGCGCAAGTTGTCAAAACGGCTGTCGTGGCCGGTGCGCAGGATGCGGACGAGCAAAAAGCTGCTCAGGCGGGCGGCCCAGACGGACATCAGAATGGTAATGACGAGCTGCCGCGTTTGCGGGACGGCTGCCACAGCATTGTACGGGGGATCCCGGCTGCCGAGGACGAGCGTGACGACGGCGAGAACCACAAAGTTGCTGCCGCCCGCAAAATCTGTACGAGGTCAGTCACGCACGCTGTGGCAGCAGTCAGCGTATGCCCGAAATACTCACCTGTCAGTTTATCAGAATGTAAGCAAAAGGCAACGGCGAAAAACGCCAGTTGGTAGCCTACGGTGATGACAGCCGTGAGGCCGAGGTAGAACTTGTCGAAGACGTGGATCGCCATGGTGATGGAAGGCGTTGATGATTTTGGTCCCCTCGGTCATGGAGCTGTCGCTCTACGATGCGCTTTGGGGTAAATAGAACGGTAGGTGCAAGTCGACGCCAACACCGACACGCCCAACGTCAAATAACGAGTCACGATCTCAGCTGTGAGGAGCGCTTTTCGCACGGGTCAAACCATTGGCTCACGAGACTTTGGGAACGGGCTGGATAGCACGAAAGGCGCAATTACCATCTGCAAGCCACAAAAGAATCCGAGACCCGACTCGGGCGGTTGCACAGACATGGCGCCGTGGCTGACAACCATACTTTGGCTCGTAAGGTTGCCTCTTATCGAACACATTTTGTGCTTTGCTGTGCTTAATTTGCTGGTATTCCGGGCGCGCATCATACATTTTTACTTACCTTCGACATGGCTGATTAGCTTGTCCAGTTTCAACGTGATCTTATTTTTATAGCTTCTTCTCCTAAGAAACGAATAAATATGAATGCTTTGCTGTGTTTGGCTTTCCCCGCACAACAAAATCAGAGAAATGGAAACGCAAGAATTAACCCGATTTTATTTTGCAAACCCCTTTTGTCCTTGGACATTCTATCCTTCCTTGGTTCTCATCCCAAATAGCTTCACTGAAAGGGAGGTCGTGACGACCTAGATAGGGTCTCCGAAAGATACCCCCATCACCGTGCACAGCCCCTCCAATATCAGGTCCCAAAATTTATGCCAGCATTGCAACAGCTTTCGGGCGCTTCATGGTTATTCCAGCAAGGGATTTTTTTTTTTTTTTTTGGTAAAATCATCGATTTTGTTCGATCCAATGTCTTTCCTCCTCCATCGCCCGTTGTGAATAACAGAGGTCACTATCACACTGTTTTATTGGCACCCTTTCACTGTAGGTCTTGCTTCCAAATACTTCTCCTTATCCGCGCTGTGTTTTGATACACAATTTGTTGCAATCGTCATTCTGTCCTGTTATTCAAAACAAAAGCCAATACATCCACACATCTTAACGTGTACGCCAATCGCCAGCCAACGCGCTGGCGCTGTTGTCAATGGCACCTTCCGTTGGCGCCCCGTCGCACCTTCTCCAGCATCGAATTGTGTGGCTGCCGGTCTTTTCTTCCAACGCATCATGGCACATCATGGCACATCATGGCACATCATGGTCTGATTTAGGAAAGACCAACCAAAAAGCGAGTTTTGTTCGCAGAAAGCTCAATGTTCATCGTGCCTTCCTAGAAAATTCAGCCAGTCAGGCCCACGGCAGGCACATTCGACCGCTCCAGTGTCCCCGACCCACCCGTGGCTTCCTGTCCCAGCAATGCTAAGCCGCCAACCTCAAACACAAGCCGTCACGGTTCTCGTCTCAGAAACCCAAAACATCCGTTTCTGGGCCCACTCTCGAACACCCTCCGACACCCTCGACCTACTCCGTCTGCTCAATTGGCAGCATCCTCGTTCCTTGTCCCTGTTCTGACGGAAAGCTTATTTTGCCTTTCTAATTCACTCACGCCATGCAGTGGCCACCAGGTCAAGGTCCAGGCGACGCCCTCAGGCCAATTGCCTTGTCTTTGTTGACAACATCTCCTGAATTGTTGCTGCCGTCTGGTTTTGCTGACGGCAAAAGGGTACCTTTACACCCCTTTTTGACATGAAATACAATTAAAAGGTGGCCCGCATCATTCACAACATCATACGGAATACGACAAATTGGCAGCCCCAGCAAGCAACCGCTCATGCTAGAACTCCTCGGCGGTCGTGGCCCTGTCGTGATGCCTCCTTTTCACATTCTTGACGTCCCCTAGCAAGGCCGCGTCAGCCCCAAGAATAGACTCTGTTTCGTTTTGTCGGCCTGCCGTTCAAGATGGGTTTCTCTTTGTGTCCCTCTTGTGAAGTCTCACCAGGGGCTGTCATGTCGTATTAGTCTTCTGTTCCCACCAGATAAAAAAGGCCCAGACCGCGACAGGGCCTTCGGGCAATGCTGTCGACTGGGATCCTCGACCCACCCACCTCCGACAGACCCCGATGAAGACATTCCATGCATCGACTTTTGCTCAAAGGCACCAGCCAATAACCCTGTGCGACAGGCTCTGTTGAATAAAGCACAGGGCTTGTATTTTGTCTGTCGAACTTAGCAGTACGCTACGGGTCCCCGTCCTGTTCTTGGGGATGACCGGGGGTGGTGACCTCGGCGACATTTGGTGCAAACAGTGTAAGTCGTTTGAGCCTCCAATCGCTCTCCTGTTTTATTCTTCTTCATTCTTTGTTTCTAGAGGCCAAGCTTTTCTTCTTGCTGCTTCCTTCTCATTACCGACTCTCCGTATTCGTCATCTTTCTGTTCCTTCTTTTCTCTGGTCTTGGCTTTTTTCTTCTTGTCCCCCCTCTTTCTCTCTCTTACCTTTCTCTTTCGTTCTCACGCCTCTCACTTCTCTTACCGTTTGAAGAAACAAATCAACAGCAGAAGTCTGTCTTGTCGACCATCGTTCTTTTTCGTCGACAACGAGCTGGCTTTCTTTTCTTCGGCAATTTCTTCTTTTCTTCTATTTGTGTACTTTTGTATTGTACCTTTTTTGTATGTTTTCTGTCAGAACGCAGATGGACGTTCTGGAGCCATTCCTTTTTGAAATTTGACAATCTCGGACCGACAACCTACCTCGAATCGGAGCATTACGATTTCGACATCTCGACATCTCGACATTGACGACAGTCGACGACAAGTAGCAATTTCAGTCACATCGTTTAGCGTCTCCTCGTCTTTCCCGCACTCGCAAGGCCGGTCCTGTTGGGTATCCAGTCTTTTTTTGCTTCGACTCGTTCGATACCGTCTTATTTTCTTCTTCGATTTTTTATTCAACGCAAATTCATTTCATCATGAAGCCCTCGGCCTTGTTGGTGGTGGCATCGCTCACGTTGGCACAGGTGGGTTCATATCATTCATCAACAAGCAACAGTTCTTGAGTGCAAACTAATAAAATTCAGGCAGCGGCGGTCGACCGGCCAAACGCTGTGAGGCGGGACTTTGTCTCAAGTCTGCTCAGCAGTCTGGGCATTGGCGGCAACAATGATGCCAACAATGACAGCGGAAACGGCAACGGGAATGGCAACGACAATGGAAATGGCAGAGGGAACAACGGCAACAATGACAGCAACAACAACAACAACAATGGCAACGGCAGAAACGGAGGAGACGCCAATGCCAACAACGGCGCCAACAACAACTGCCCAGCCGTCAGCACCGTGACTGCACGCCAAACGATTACTGTTGGTGCCCAGCCTGCCGACACCGGCAATGCGACCGTGATTGCTGTGTCTCGGTCACCCGCAGAGCCGTCTGCTCCTGCTGCTCCTGTTGCAGCTGGTGCCACTGGTGCCGCTGGTGCCGTTGGTGCCGCTGGTGCCGCTGGTGCCGCTGAGTCGCCTACAGCCGCCGTCGCTCTCGGTGCGGCAGCTGTATCCGCTGCACCTGCTACGGTGACAGTGACGGTCTCGGCCGATGCGACGACCGTGACAGAGACTGTCAGTGTGACTGTGACAGCAGCTGCAGCTGGTGCGGCGGCCGCTGCGCCCGCGCCTGTGGCGGTGTCATCGGCTGCCGTGGCCGGTGCTGCGGCTGCCGCGTCGTCTCCTGCCGCTGCCCCCGTGGCTGCGACTGATGCAGCTGCGGCGGGTGGCGCCGCGGCAGGTGGTGCCGTTGATGGTACACCCACGGGCGGTGTCGGTGTCACGGTCATTGCCGTGCCCGCCGCCGCGCGCACCTCCACCAAGGTCGTGCCACCTGCGGCGTCTGCTGTTGCCGCGACGCCTCCGGCCGTCGCGGCCACCTCCAATGTCGCGGGTGCTGCTGCCGCGACGTCTCCGTCCCTCGCTGCGCTCCCGCCTCTGTCGACGTCCACCTCGGCCGCTGCTGTTGGTCTCCCGCCGCTTTCGTCTGCCACGTCGCTTGCTGTCCAGCCCGCCGCTGTGTCCACCACCGCCTCCTCTGCCAACACACTTGTCCCCCTTGGTGGAACCACGGCTGCGGCTGGTCTCCCTGCATTGACTGCTCTGACCTCAATCAACTCGCTGCAGACGACCGTGGACCTGGGATCTGTGCAGACGACGGCCGCGCCGGTCGCTGCTGCACCTGCTGTAGCCAACAACCCGCAGGAGCTGTCGATCAACCTGAGCGGCCTGTCTCTGAACAGTGTGCTGACCCTCGGTAACCTGGCGGCCCAGACATTAGTGCCTGCTTAAAGTGGGAAGTTCCTAGACCATGCTGGGCCTGTTGGGTTGGTAGGGTTTTTATGTTGCTGGTTCGCTTCGTACGTCCTCTGGACCCCGTTCTGTCTTTACATTGGCTTCTTTTTTGTCACTCTTCTTCGGGTTTTGCGTCTTTCCTTTTCTGTATCTTTCTCTCGTTTCAAGTCCCTTCTACTTTTCCGCTGTATATAATCCGACAACCATTTCGAGGGACCGAGAGAAGGAACGAAGAAAGGCGAGAGAGCGTCTGCCCCGGTACCTGCGGGCCAGCAAAATGTATTACTTTGAAAATATAAATGGACAGTGGGGGAAAGAGCAAGACTCTTTATCAAAATAAAAACAAGATGATTCAAATTTGATGCTTCGCCATGCTTCTTAGGGTATCGTTGCTGTCTGTAACTGTACATGCCCACGTCTTGCGTAGCACTGTTGTTCCTATCGCACACTCTGGTCTGTAGAACTATCATGGCCCTTTGCGCTGCTTTTTTGACTGCTGTTGCCGTGCCTGTGGTGGACCGTTGGCCAGCCCATCGTCGGCCTTCCGCTTCTTCTGGTCGGTGCCTTTCTGATGTTTCTGTTTTTGCTGTTTTTGTTGCTGCTGCTTTTGTTGCTGCTTCTCCTTCTCCTTCTCCTTCCCTTGCTTGTGCTTGCCGGCCGTCTCTATCGCCTCGCCACCACCTGCTGCCTGAACAACATCGATAACACCCCGGAACCCGCGCCGCCGCAGACCTTCGTTGGCTACAATGCTCCGCGGTAACGCTGCCATCGCTTCCGTTCCCCGGTCCGGCGGCAGGCCCCATACGGCCAGCAGGTTCACGACGTCGGCCGGCCCGCGCAGCTCAAACGCGCCGCCACCCTTGATGTGGGCGCCGGAACTCACGACAATACCGCGGCCGCGTGTCGCCCGCATCAGGCCCGTCAGGTTGGCCACGAACAGGGCCCGTGCGCGGGCGGCGCTCCCGCTCTTGTCGGCCGAGGACGCCGAGGATCCATGATCGCCACCGCCGCCGCCGGTGCCGCCTCGCAGGGCCTGTGAATAGCACACTTCAAAGTGCAGGCCGCGGCGCACGGCGGCCATGCAGGTGCGGTGCTTAAAGTAAAAGGGAAAGTAGGTGGTCAGGTCCAGGCTGATGAGGGCGGGCTCGGTCATGTTCAGGCAGGCAGACTGAAACGCCTTTTCATTGGTCGGGCGGACGGCGACGAGGTCATAGGCGGCGGCAAAGGCGCCGAGGCGGTGGTTGGCGGCGAAGTCGGAGATGACGATGGTGGCACGGTGGAGGATGCGCGGCCGGGGTGTTGGGGCTGTTGATGCCGTTAAGCTCGTCGAGGTCGTTGCGGCAGCGGAAACCATCACACCAGTTGCTACCTGGACAACAGCTTCCAAAGAATTCGTAATTATGGGCGGCAAAGGCCCACTGTAGACGTGATCGAGGGCGACCACGTCGTAGCCGAGCTCGGCGCTCATGGCGAGCGTATTCGCCACATCGGCGGCCGGCGTGTCGGACGTCCACACGAGGCTGAGGTCGTGCAGCATGGTGGGCTGTGTCGGACGTGTCGTGACGTGTTGCTTCTGACGCTGGTGATGGGTCAGGGCGATGATCTAGATGCTACTGCAAAATTTAGCGATAAGATACAGCTTATCGTGTCACAGTAAACCGCGCTATGTTTTAGGTGCTTGATACGCCGCACGACGCCCAGTTGTGGGGTATTCGTACGCGTCAGATGCACGCTAATGCCGGCTGCCGGACAGCAGCAGCCACTGGGATGCGCCGGGAGAGTACGAAATACACTGGAGCACACCAAGTATTACGTTGGCTGGTAAGTAGCTGAGAAGCCAAGACGTCATATAGTTCGACCAAGCCGCATATGGGAGGCCTGCCAGCATTGTGACGCATGTCGGTCGGAAACTGTCTGGTATAGTCACGTAGAACTTTGCAATTGTGATCTTAACTCAACCAGAGCCTTTTCCGGAGTAATATACAGCGAATGCCAACAATACTGACGAAAAAATCCCTACAACAAAATAATTCAATGGTCAACCTGCGCCGTGACATGTAGAAAAGATGGACAAATAAGGCAGAATGAGTGACGGAAAAGATGCAGAGAACAATAGAAACAAGAGCAAATGAAGCGTAAAATTGCAAAACAAAACCCAAAAAATACAGTGCCAACAACAACCGGCTAATCTCCATCTTGTTGTGTCTGTACTAGCCGTACCGCATGGCGCCGTTCTGCCCCGGCTGTTGCTGCGGCTGCGGCTGCGGTGGTCCTTGCTGTTGGCCTTGGTACTGTCCTTGCGGCGGTGGTTTGTAGCCGCCTTGAGGCTGCATTGGTACCTGGCCGCCGCCGCCGTGTCGCATGGCCAGCACGTCCGGACGTTGGTCAAGCGGCTCCGAGTAGTTGCAGACGTGGCAGGTGATGTCTTCGTAGCCGTGGAACGAGAATGGAATGACGGGCTGTTTTGTCAGCAGGAATGATAGAGCAAGACGAGGACGCATGGGACTTGGAACATACAACAAAGCAAAGGGTGAACCAGGGATGTGTCTTGATGGGGTGGCCGCTGTAGTTGCCGCAGTTGTGGCATCGGCAGACGACGCCCTCGTAGCCCTCGATTTCCTTGCGGAACGTGTGCTCGCCGCACGTGAAGACGATACACATGGTGGCGGGTAGGCGAGATAAGAAAGAAGAGGTGACAAGTCTCTCTGGCAGAGGTCGACAGTTTCCGAGAACCGAAGGTTACAGTGGATCGCGCGATGAGTGAGATTTGTAGGATTTGGAGCAGATGCAATGACGTCGCTAGTTTTGCGCGACCGTTGTGCGAAGCGAGTATTGGGAGATGTGTCGAATAACTATTCCGACTGGCGTTGGCAAAGAAGAAGAAGACAATTGAGAGATGCAAAAAGTAGAAATTCAATTGAACACAAATTGCCCGACTTTGGCGAGCACGACTGTCTTGGCAGAGGGGAAGGAGAGAACGAGACGACAGGCAGTCGTCGCTTCCAAATATACTTACAGTGGCGAGACTGGGATCAAGGCCTGGAGCGAGGCCTGGAAGCCGCGATCGCCCTGCTAGAGCAGGAGCTGACTACGTCGCAGATAAAGCTGCAAGTGCGCTCAACACAATTGCACTTGCGCGTCAGCGCAAGACGCTAGCCAGATACGGCTAGGAGTTTGAGACTTCCTTCAGAGAGCGCCCTTATTCGCTTAGAGTGATATCGATGGATTCGCTGCTCGTTTAATCCGATCTGCAACCCCTCTGTTGCAGCGCCGGTGGCCCACTAACGACAGGATTTTGTGCCATGCTCCAGTGCCTTTCAATAGCGTCCCCGGCCTTTTTGAGTCACTTCAGGGACGACACAACAATCAACAGTCGTGTTTTAACAGCCTCGTCCTACCAAGTCTGCTAGACTAGAGAAACGACCCCTTTCTTTTGTTTTCGCCTTGTCGACCGCTTGCACTCGCTCCTGTCCTTTCTTTTCCTCGGCACATTCACTGTCACGGCCCCGTTGTCGGTGCATCGGCCCTCTTTTTTCGATTCTCACGACTCTTTCAGCAAAGCGAATTGCCTCATTTTTGACGACCATTTGATCTTCGACGCATTTTCCCTACCTCCCCCCCCCTCCACCCCTTCCGCCCCCGCTGCCGCCAACATGGCCTCCCGCAAATCGCCCGAGACCAAGGAGGAGAAGCTCGCCCTCATCTACGAGAACCTCGCCGAGACCATCAACCCGGAGATCATCGAGGGCATCCTTGACGAGGGCCGCGCCGTCAAAGTCTACTGGGGCACGGCCACCACCGGCAAGCCCCACACGGGCTACTTTGTCCCCGCCATCAAGATTGCCCAGCTGCTGCACGCCGGCTGCGAGGTCACCATCCTGCTCGCCGACATCCACGGCTTTCTCGACAACCTCAAGGCGCCGCTGGAGCTCGTCGAGTACCGCTCCAACTACTACCAGTGGACCATCCGCGCCATGCTCGAGGCCGTCGGCGTCGACACGTCCCTGCTCAAGTTCGTCAAGGGCTCCTCCTACCAGAAATCCCCCGACTACATCATGGACGTCTACCGCCTGTGCTCCGTCACCTCCGAACACGACGCGAAAAAGGCCGGCGCCGAGATCGTCAAGCAGTCCACCAATGCCCCGCTGTCGGGCCTGCTGTACCCCATCCTGCAGATCCTCGACGAGGAGCACCTGGGCGTCGATGTCCAGTTTGGCGGCGTCGACCAGCGCAAGCTCTTCACGGCCGCCAAGGAGTGGCTGCCCAAGCTCGGCTACAAGCAGCGCGCCCACATCATGAACCCCATGATCCCCGGTCTGCACGGCGGCAAGATGAGCTCCAGCGAGGAGGACAGCAAGATTGACCTGCTCGACAGCCCCGAGACCATCACCAAAAAGATCCGCAAGGCCGAGGCCGCGCCCAAGATCGTCGAGGGCAACGGCCTCCTGGCCTTTGTCGAGTACGTGCTGCTGCCGGCCGCCGAGCTCAAGACCGGCGCCCGTACCTTCACCGTCGAACGCACGCGCGACGCGCTCGAGCCCCTCGTGTACAGCGACGTCAAGGCCATGCACGCCGACTACCAGAACGATGTGCTCACGCCGCAGCTGCTGAAGCCCGCCGTGGCCGACGCCATTGCCCATCTGACCGCCCACATCCGCGACTCGTTTGCCGCATCGCCCGAGTGGCAGAACCTTACCACCCTGGCCTACCCGCCACCCGCGAAGAAGGAGAAGAAGGTCAAGAACAAGGGCACACACTACCCCGTGCGGCCAAAGGGCGATGAGGCCGCCAAGGAAACACCGAAGGACGAGGCACCAAAAGAGGCGTGAAGTCAAGAAAATAAAAGGAAACAGAAGAAAACAAAAGTAAGAAAAGAGGTGCAAAAAAGGGGTGGATAAATCCAGGATCTGTAAAGAACCATATAGACACGATGCAACGAATAAAGCACATTAGCGGAAAACATGATAAAAATGATATCATGTGTGAATAATGTAATCCAAGAAATCCAAGAAAATATACGACGATAACTAATAAAACGTGCCATTGTGTATGTGGCGGTTTTTCCAAGACGCCGCCGTCCCAAAGTAAACAATGCCAAGAAATTTAAACAGAATATATAAAAAAAACCAACGGTCAAATACCACGTCGCTATGCAGAAAAAGAAGGAAAGCGAAAATGCACCCCTCGCCCTCATACGCCGGCAAATGTCTGCCCGATAATATCGCTGCCACAGACAGCTGCCCGCTCCCGTGCATCCAGCTGGGCCGCCCACGCCCGCAGCTCGTCGAGCGTCAGGTCCGTGTCACCCGCGACCGGTTGGTGGATCTGGGCCACGGGCGGTGCCGTTGCTGACGAGGACAGCAGGTATCGTGCGCTCGCCAGAACGGTTCCGTTGTTGATCTTGCCCTTTTCTTTTTCCAAAATACTGAACCGCAGCGTCACCTCTGTCACCGTCACCAAGATGCTGATCACAATGAGAATGATGATGATCCACGTAATCGAGCTCATCTTGGAGTCCGCCACACTGTCCGCCAGAATTTCCGCCAGGTCCAGGAACACGCGGCACCGCTCGTTCAGCACCTGGATACGCGGGTCGATCTCCAGGTACTCGCGGATCGCCACGTACAGCGGGTGCAGCGTCGGCTCGGCGTCCCAGAAGAAATTCGGCACGTCTAGAATGTTGGAGGACAGGTTGATGTCGACGCGGTTCTTAAATAGCCGCCCCAGGATCTTGACAATCTCCGTCCGCGACATGTTGAGCTCGCCCGTCAACGCCAGCGTCTTGGGCACGTTCTGGGCGTTCTGCATCGTCTCGGACATTTTCTCCTCAAAAAAGCACAGCTTCGTGCTCTGCGCAATCGCGTGGCTAATGGTCAGCTTGACCATGTGGTCCGACCGTGGCAGCAGTGTGATCATGTCGTTGAACACCCGTGGGCGCTGCACGCTGGCGCTGTACTCAAAGTGGAACTCCTCCGTCTCAAAGTCCGCCTCGTCCAGCGGCCGTGTCACCAGCGACCGCGCCCCCGGCGACGTTGACGTTGACGCGTCGTCCTCCGCAAAGGCCAGGTCCGCCAATATGTCCTTCTCCTGGAGTTCTGTAAAGTTCCAAAACACAACTACACCGTATGAGAACACAAACATTTCTGCAAAATGTTTGGCCTCGGGCGCTAGCCGGTTGACCGGCGATGCGATCGTGGGCATGGGGCTCTCGGGCCCGCCGGCCGATGCCGACATGGAGTAGAGCGCTTGCTGCTGCTGCTGCTGCTCTTGTTCAGACGGGGATTGTTCGTTTGGCGATTGCTGCTGGGCCTGGCGCTCATAGTGGACGTCATCGTGGCCGCCAGTCCCGTTCATTTGCTGGCCGTTATCGTGGTCGCCCCTGTCACCATGGCTGTTGTCGTTGTTGTTGTTCCCGTTGTTATGATCCGCATGTTGTGATACATAGTCATCAAAGTATCCGATATGCTCGTCCCGCCGCTCGCTGCGCTCTATTTCCAGGTCCAGCACCGTTTTGCCCGTGCCAGGCGTCTTTAGCATCGGCCGGCTGCGCACGCGATATCCGTCGTGACCCGGTAGCAGCGGCAAGTGGTACACCGTATAGAGGCAGTCGTCGTAGAGTTTCGTCTTAGCCGCGTGGTGTGTGCGCAAGAACTCCGCCGTGGCCCGCATCTTGAAGGCTTGCGCCGTGCAGTACGCCGTCAGCCGCGCCACCTTCTCGGTGCGCTGGCCCTTGGGCAGGCGCTCGGCGTAGCTCTTGCCGCGGATGCCGCCACGCTTGCGCAGCACATCCAGCTCTTCATCGCGTGGCGGTCGGGCGCCGTCGTACAAACTGCTGCCCGTCGGCGGAACTTCGCCGGTTTCGGCTGCCTCTTCGAGAGCAATGCGCGCCCGCTGCAGCGCCCGGCGTGCCGCCTCGGCGTTCTCGTCGCCAGCGACCGCTGCCGCCCATGTCGCGTCTCTGATCTCGTTGCCGTCCTCGTCCTCGTCGTCTTCGTCGCTCTTCGCCTTTTCGTCTGCCGTTTCCGGCAGCAGCACCAGCTTCTCAGAAATCTTGGTCGTGCGTGAAGGCACACCGGGCAGGCCAGTTCGCGGCAAAGGTGGTCCGCCGGCCGGGCCAAGGCCACTGCCAACACCACCCACACCACCGCTCGCGCTGCCCGGCACCAAGACACCCGAGCTCATACCTGAGCTTGCAGCACCAGAACTCCCGCCTGCACCGCCGCCCGTGTTGATGCCAAACGAACTGCTGCTGCGTCTTGTGAGCCCACGCCGCCGCGCGACCGAGGCGGCGGCTGAGAGAGCGGACGACGGGAGCATGCGCAGGGCGCCAGGCGGGCCCCGTGGCTGACCGGAAGGGATTTCCGAATTGTGCTGCAGGACGTTGTCGACTGAGATGTGGCGCATAGCTAATCGGCTTCGCTGGCTAGGCGAGGACGAGGAGGCGCTGGACGCGCCACCAGAATTTGACCCAGAGGCGGAACTTTGTGAAGAAGACGAGGAGGAAGGGGAGGACGATGTGTTGGTGCGTCGGTTGTTGGGAGCGCCTCGATTTGGTGGCCGTTCGCGGGCGTCGGTAACCTAAGACAACCGATGTGGTCAGAAGATGGCCAATTGAGTAGCAGTTTTGATTGATGGAAAATGGACATACTAGGACCGATGGCCCACGTTTGGACGACATGGTGTCGGCAGTCTATCCGGCCAGGGTGGAATAAGCCTTGTTGAACCTGAAGGATTCGAGCGTTCGAGGTGGAAGCGGAAGCTGAGATGGCAGCGACGATAGACAATGCTGGCGATGAGATGGCAAAGGCTGAGGTGACCTGACAAAGGAAGCTGCATACACAGTTTGATATCAATACTGCGACCAATGCTTCCCCACGTGGGTTGACGAATCGCGGGAGTTGGTTGCTGTGCGTGGAAAAAAAAGAAAGGCAAAAGAATGACAGAAGGGAAAAGGCCGAGGAAGTCTGGTGATGCGCAGTTGCATTACGAGAGTAATAACCTCGACTGCTCCTTCCTTGGTGCTGCTAAGACGTTGTCGCTAGCGTTGGAAAAAGTGCTGGCAGGTGCGATGCAAGGACTGTATGCAGAACAAAGGCAAGAGAAAACAGAAGGTTCGACCCAGTAAAAAATGTCTCTCTCCGGAAAGGACAAGAGGCGGTCGATCCGTCCAATAGCAGCTAGTCGCCACTGTGCAGCTGTCCCCACGTGCTGGAACTAGGCGACGTCATCCTTTGCTTGAGCGGTGCTTCCCCGCCAAAAGCTGCAGGTCGTTTTGCCGGCAGAATTCCAATGTAAAAAACATGAACTTTAAATACGGCGAAGCGAATACAAAATCGTCCGTTTTTGTGCAGTGTTTACTTTGACTCAATGGCAACTTATACGTAAATTGGTATCGAACTTGCTTGTGCAAACACGCTGTCTCCTGCTAGCTATGTACGAAACGGAAAAACAGGACGCCAGGGACTATGCCAAAAGTAACAAACGAAATAAGAAATAAGACCGAAAAACAGCGAAGAACAAAACAAGGCGGAGGGCGACGCCATTACACCTCCGCATGGTCTAGGTTTGCCAGCGGGACGTAGCCTGCGGACTCGCCGTTCGACCACCGCTTGCCAGTGACCAAGTGGTAGCCATCCTCGAGACCGTCGCGCGCGCGCGATGTGATGCCCTCGAGGCGCCAGCGCCAGCCCATGCTGCGCTTGAGCACGCCGCGCTCGTCGTAGAGTGACTCGTCCATGTAGGCAGGTCGCTTCCAGAACTTGAGCAGCAGACTGCTGACAACGACGCTGACGCTCGACAGCGCCATGGCTGCGCCAGCCGCGAGCGGGTGCAGGTGCAGGCCGAGCGGCAGGAAGATGCCCATGGCGAACGGCAAACCCACCACGTTGTAGAGACAGGCCCAGGCCAGGTTGAGCTTGATGCGCCCAAAGATGTAGCGGGCCAGGTGGAGCGACGAAGGGATGTCCATGAGGTTGTTGGGGCGCATCAGCACGACATCGGCGGCTTCCATGGCGACGTCTGTGCCAGAGGACATGGCAATGCCCACATCGGCCGTGGCAAGCGCGGGCGAATCGTTGATGCCGTCGCCGACCATGGCCACGACCTCGCCGGCCGCCTGCAACTGTGTAATAATGGCCTGCTTCTGGTCGGGCGACACGCCGGCGTACACATTGTCGGCCGAGATACCCACCGCCTTGGCCACCGCCACGGCCGTCGACCGCTGGTCGCCCGTCACCATGGCCGTCTTGATGCCCATGCGGTGCAGCACCGAGAAGGCCGCCGCGGCGCCGTCCTTGATCGTGTCCGCCAGGCACAGGTGGCCAGCGAACTGGCCGTCGATGGCGATAAAGATGTTGGTGGTGCCGGCAGACGCAGACTTGGACGACGACTTGGTCGCCGACGCAGCCTGTGTGTTGAACTCTTCCGAGGCGTTGATGGCCGACTGGGGCACCGTGACGTCGTTCTCCTGCAAGAACTTAACATTGCCAACAAGAATGCGGTAGCGTGTGCGCTCGGCGGACGTGGCCGGCTCGATCGTGGCGCTGATACCGCGACCGACCAACGCCTTAAAGTCGCCGACGCTGCCGTCAATGGCCCCCTCAGAGTCCAGGCCCAGTTCGGTGCGCGCGGCGCCCAGAACCGCACGGCCGATCGGGTGCTCGCTGCCCATCTCCGAGAGACCAACAATTGTCCACCAGAGGCGCCGGCGCCACTCATTGTCCTTCCACGTGGACGCCAGCGTGACGCTCGCGACGCTCATCTTGCCGTAGGTAATGGTGCCTGTCTTGTCAAGGACGACCTGTGTGATCTTCGTGGCCGTCTCGAGCGCTGCACCGCCCTTGACGAGAATGCCGTTCTCCGCGCCAACGCCGGTGCCGACCATGACCGCTGTCGGTGTCGCGAGACCCAGCGCGCACGGGCAGGCAAACACGATGACCGAGATGCAAAGCTTGACACACACAAAAATCTTGCCGCCGCTCTCCTCCTTCAAGAAGATGTTGGGCGGGTTGGGCAGGACGTGGCTCAGGATCATCCAGACCACAAAGGTCAAGAAACCAAGAACGAGAATAGTTGGCACGAAGTAGCCGGCGAGCGTGTCGGCCACGCGCTGAATGGGGGCGCGCGTGGTCTGCGCATCCTGCACGAGCTTGACAATTTGGCTGAGCTGAGTGTCGCGGCCGGCGCGCGTGACACGGAAGTCGACCCGCCCGTGGCCGTTGACAGTGCCACCAATTAAGAAACTGCCCTTGCGCTTCTGCACCGGCATCGCCTCGCCGGTAATCATGCTCTCATCAATGTACGTCTCGCCGCGGACCATAACACCATCGGCAGGAATCTTGTCGCCAGGGCGGAGGATGACGACGTCGCCAACCTGGATCAGCTCGGTGGGGATAACCTTCTCCTCGGCAGCGTTACCATCCACGAGCGGCGTCTTAGGCTCGCCCGAACCGGCGACCGTGTCCCAACTCTCCGCGGCCTTCTCGGCGGCTATGGGATCGGCGTAAATAGTAGCCATAGACGGGGCCAAGGACATGAGGCGCGAGAGGGCTTTGGAGGTCTGGCCCTTGGCGCGGTTCTCGAGGAAACGGCCCAAGCTGATAAAGGTGATAAGCATCGTGCTCGTGTCGAAGATGGTGCTCGGACGACTGTGGGGCTCGATCAAGAAAGAAACAAGCATAGCCACGATACTGAAGGCGAAGGCACAAGAGGTGCCGAGCACGACGAGGACGTCCATGGTGGGCGAACGGTGCTTCACAGATTTCCAGGCCGACGTGTAGAAGCGCTTGCCGATGCCAAACTGCACCGGGATGGTCAAGGCCAGGCAGACAATGTCGCCGAGGAAGAGGCCGGGCAGAATCTGGAAGGCGCCAAAGTCGATGGCGGGCGCACACATGGGGAGGATCATGCCAATAATAAACACGGGAATGGCAAAGGTGAGGGACACCTTGAGTGCGCGGCGCCACTCGTTGATCTCACGGGTCTTGGCGAGCGACTCGAGCTGCGCGTTGTTGTCGTCATTGTCTGCGACAAGCGCATTGTAGCCAGCCTCTTCCACCGCCTCCACGATTGCACGAAGGCCGGTGACAGCTGACTGGTGGGACACAGTGAGCTGGGACGTGGCAACATTGAGACGCACCGACTGCACACCGGGCAGCCCAGACAGTTTCTCCTCGAGAGCCCGAGCCTCGGCGGCGCTGGGGTCACCATACACCTTCAATGACGAGCTAGTGTAGCCATGGCTGTTGTCTGAGCTCTCGGCTACAGATGAGACAATGGAGGCGCCAAAGCCACCGTCTTCAATCTTCTCCACAATCTTTTCTGAGGAAAGCTTAGTCGGGTCGTGTGTGAGGACGGCGCGTTCAGCCAGCAGGCTGATGTTGAAGCGAAGGACACCGTCGGCGTTTTTGAAGAGGCCTTCGACAGCCGAGGTGCATGCGCCACAGGTCATGCCCTCGATCGCTACCGTCGTGGTCATGTGCTCTGGGCCTTGGCGGCCACGGCCGGACCGGCTGTTTCCGGCTCGTTGCCGCTCGGGTTTCAGCTCCTTGGTTTCGACCAAGGATGCGCCGAAGCCGCGGTCCTCGATCAGCTCGATAATCTTGTCGGCAGCGAGGACAGTGGGATCGTGTTCAATCACGGCGCGCTCGGACATGAGAGAGATGCTGAAGTTCTTGACGCCCTCGACGTCTTTGAACCCACCTTCAATGGCAGATGTGCAGGCGCCACATGTCATGCCCTCGACAGCTACGGTGGTCTGCTGGGTGTTGGCACCGGCGGTCTCGTCCTCCACATCAAATAGGTCGTCGTCGTCGGAGTCGCGGATGCGAGGAGAAGGAAGATCGGTGGCAAGGATCTCTGCGTCGAAACCACGGTCTTCGATAATTTCGCGGACTTTCTCTGCAGTGATGCGCGCCGGGTCGTGCATAACGACGGCGCGTTCCATGACGAGACTCACAGACACATTACCGACGCCATCCACGCCCTTGAAGCCCGCTTCAACGGCCGAAGTGCATGCGCCGCATCTGCATGGGAAAAAGAAAAGTCCTAGTTAGCGTCTCGTCCTGTCTCGGATCATAAAAGGTACCCCGCGCCGAAGGTGCGTAAGGAAGAGCTGGAACGGCGGAGAAAGCCGCCGGCTGGAGCTGTAACTCACGTCATGCCACCGACTTTGAGGGTGGTTGTAGCCATGTGTGGTGTGGGGACGCCCAGCGTTGCTTGCCCGGCGTCTGGATCCCTCGGCGGGACCTTTATGTACGTTGGCGCCATTGTGACTGTGTGTGACGGTGATGTCGTCGACAAACAAGTAGTGCGGAGCAAACAAGGGCGCTGGCGATGGTCGCACCGGTGAAGGGAACGATGTGTCTTCGTCGTCTACTAGGAGCGGGCCGGCAGTTCCAGAGACATCGGGGCGTTTGGATATCGACAGAGATGAAGAGACGAAAGCAGCAATAGGAGGGCAGCAGGAAGACGAGAAGAAGCAGAACAAGAGAAAGCCTAGGGGCGCAGCGGCACGACGGGCGACGAAGCTTATTCTTATTGCTGCGGGAAGACCAGCTCCTGCACGCGAGTGGGTGAGGTTGCAGAGTGTGCCGCAGGGCGGCGTGCGGGTGGAATGTGTGGTATTATTGATTATCGAAAATTGATTCTCTGTACGCCGTATTACGGTGTAGGTCCTGTTGTCTGTGGGCGTCGGAAAAACAAAGACAACTGTGTTTCACAAGTGGACTTCCGGAGACACAATGCTCAGGCTGGCGCTGCGTTTCCTGTGGTCCTGCTGTGTTTCGAGGGTTGGTTCGACGTGGGTCGTCTTAGGCTGTCTGGGACGGGCCAGGTCTGGCTGGGGTTGCTTTGATGTGTCGTCAAGGTGGCAGCCCGTGCCGTAGCGTTTCGTTGAGAGAAAGGTAGGGGTGCTGGGAGGGGCGTGTTTTGCGTGGTGTTCGGGAGCGCTGGGGACTCCAGGATGCTTTCAAATCGTCTTCGATGCTGGTTCTGTTCTTTTCTTGGACACTCTTCAGCCAACCGCTGCGTCAGCTTATTGTTCGGCGCAGACTGCAGGCTACAGACGGCAAGAGTGCAGACCGTGGTAGTGAGAATTCGGGAAGGACAAAGGGTTGGGGACTGAGAGCGTGAGAGCCAAAGGAGGCGCAGAAGACAGAAGACGACACAAGAAATGTGGCGCTGCTAGCGCCTGGAAATCCCGACTGACGACGAGATCCAAAGTCGATGCACGCAGCGACACCGACGACTGTGGCCACGACGACAAAGTGTCGACTCCTGATTTCCGGTTCGCTGGGAAGCGCTTGTGAAACCCTGCGGGAGAGAGTTTTGGCTGGATTTGCTGGGGGCTAAGTTGTGTCCCTTTTTTTTTTGCGATGTGTGGCCTGTGCGGACTTGGAGCAGGGGTCAGAGGCGGGTGCCAGATGCCAACAGATCGAGTACTGGGGATAGTGTGAGCCTCTGAGAGGCGTAATCGAAGCCAAACGATGCTGAAAACCGGCTGAAAGCGACGAGAATCATAAGCGGGCAAAAGGGAGGGAAATAAAGTCAAGATATGACAAGACGATGATCGTTTTTGGGAAATTTGCAGCAGGCTGGGCGTAAATACGTCAGGCGCTGCTTTCTAATCCACTAGGCGTCTGTACGTGTTACTTTGCTGGAATGGTTGGCGGTCTGGCTGCCGAAGTGAACGAAGGCGTTCGTTCTCAATGTCGACCTGTTTTGGTTTGTGATTTCTTTGACTCCATTCGGGAAATTCTGGACGGCAATATTGATTGCAAATTAATTTAGAGCATACAGCACTTGCCATTTGCAAGTCATTCTTCTCGTCGGCATCTGGAAAGCGCCACTCAACTTTTGTGTCGGTCGTCGCTTCCGCACTTGCCGAGCCTTGGCCTCTTGCCTTCCCATTTCCCTACCAAACTCCGGAATATACGGAGCACTAATTCCCAGGTTCCACCTTTTGTTCCAGCGTATTGTTCTGTCGCTGGGGGATTCCTTTACTGTTCGGAGTTTGTTTTGCCTTCCTTTTCTGTACTCCGTACTGTCCGTGACAGGCGATGCCATGGCAAAAGACTGCAGCGGATAGCAAAGATAATCAGTAGAAGGCGCTAACGATGGTAATATATCCACTACGATCAGTGGTATCCGGGTAGGAGTGACAGAAGGTAAACGGACAGGACAAGAGCAGCGGAGGGCGAAGCCTGACATCTTTTCGCGTGAGGAAAGAACGGCGCGTAGACACACGCACTTAGCAAGAAGAAAATAAAATAAAATAAAAGTGCGAGAACATGGAAAACGAGCCGACAAACCGCCAGAGATCACCGCAGAGTCTCATCTCCACCTTAAACGAAGATCCAAGGACGCCGGGACGGTTGAAAGAAGCAAGCCAAGGCGAGAGAAGCCACGTGAAGCCATGTTGACGATCTCAGCATGAGGGATAGACACAAGCAGAGCATCACAGCTGAGGTTCGCATGCCGTGCAGTGACTTGTCCTTCGCCCCAACTTGCCTCTTTTTGTCCTCGTTCCCCGCCCGTCTGCCTCCCTGCCGCTCGACGCACGGAATGCATGGTCTTCGACTGGCCCGACCACAAATTGGAAGAGGCCAAAAAAGCCACCTGTACCCCGTACATTGCGAACCATGGGACTCGGGACGAAAAGGGAAAGAGCAGCGGGATGGAAAGTAACACGATGGACAAACGTGACGGACACGCAGGGCTAATTTCGAGACATGGATGGGCTACGAATGTTGGCGAATGCATGGCTGTAGTGGCTTGAGACACTCGCACCTGTGAATGTCGCACATATCGTTCGTATGCGCCATTTCAATAGTCTTCGAGGGCAAAACACCCTGCCTCCACCATCCAAGGCGATGGATGAGACACGAAAGAGCCATAAGAGACAACACTGGAACCGGTTTTGTCCAGAGGCATCGAGAATTAGTCATGTTCTCGCCGTAAAGCCTGCACTTCTGGAATCCATCTTGAAGGGGAAATGGAGACGGTCGGAGCAAAGTCGCATCTGATAATTCGGTCAAATACGAGCAGATCTCGTTATGGCCCTCTTCCTTGACACAATATTTGCGGCCCCATTTTTCTGTCCCTATGAGGGACGCTGGGACGCTCGTTGCGTAGCGCTCTCAAACTCGCTACAGGGACCATTAGGTGCCATTTCTAGGGGCGCCCCTGAATCCGTTCAGGGCGCTCAAACCAACCTGACACAGATCGTCAAACCCAGAGATCTCCAGGTACAGAGTAAATCAACGGGAAACAGGCATATGGTAACAGGAGCCTCAACCTGAGGGCCCAGAGTTACACGATAAAAAATAAGAAAAAGAAAACTAAGAAACGAAACGGCTTCATGAATTGTTGCCCCATAGCAACTCGACCTTGTAACTGAACATACTCTCTGTGGGCCGTCTACGTTATGCTTAGTCATCATGAGCCACAGTCCTCAAGCCTCACCACCCCGCAGACATCCAACACACGACATCACGAAGCTCTCAAGCTAGACATCGCGACCACGGATTGCCCTGCAAAGAAAGCTGCAAATCCAAGTCACAGCACGCTACGGTTTATCATTTAGATAACCGTGCACACAGATAACACACGAGATTATTCGTACCCGCTAGACCAGCACAATGGCGCAGCTCAAGGCGATGGACGCCTTGGAGGTAAGCTATCCCCCTCTCCGCGTTTTGTTGGCATCTTCACCCTAGGTTACCCCATTCCATGGCCGGCTTCCTGAAGATCATTCTCTAACTGCCTCTCTCCAGCCATTTGTCGCCCTTTCCAAGTCTGCCAGCTCCCCCCGCCAGGCCGCCGACCTGGTCGTCCGAGCCACCTCTCACCCCAGCACCTACTTCTTTGCCGAGCTGCTGCAGACTCCTCAGATCCAGGCCCTCGCGACCGCCGATCCCGAGTATGCCGCCTACCTGGCCGTCCTCCAGATCTTCAGCTACGGCACCTACGCCGACTACGAGCGGGGAACCGCGCCCTCCGCGTCGTCGTCACAACCTTCACAACCGCAGTCAATATCACAATCACAAGCCGCATCAGCTGCAGCAGCAACACCACCGCTCCCACCACTCACCGACGCCCAGGCCACAAAACTCCGCGAACTGTCTCTCATTTCCCTTGCCACCGACCGCTCCAGTCTGGGGTACGACCACCTCGTCCGCGAACTGCGCCTCGACGATGCCCGCCAGCTTGAGACGCTCGTCATGGCCGCCGTCTACGCCGGCCTCGTCACCGGCACGCTCGACCCGGCCCACCAGGTTGTGCGCATCAGCGCCGTCGCACCCATGCGTGACCCTGCCCCCGATGCCGTCCCGAGACTGCACACCGCCCTGAGCAGTTGGTCACAGCGCTGCGAGTCGACGCTGGCCGCCCTCGACGAGCAGATTGCCGGCATCCGGCGCACAGCGGCGGCGCGTGCAGAGGAAGGCCAAAAGTCGGACAGCCAGTTTAAGCGGGCCGTCGAAACTGAGAAGCGGGCAATGCTCAACAAAGATGGCGGTTCTGGGGATGCGGATGATGCCGGCGGCAATGCCGGCGGCCACGGCAAGCGGCCGATGACGCTCAATGTCTCGAGTGGCGGAAAGGGGATTGGCAACCCGCGATTCAACAAGCGGGGCAGCAACCTGATGGCCAGCTCCATTGTTCCGCCAAGCTCGCACGCTGTGCCGGGTCCCGGCTCGGCTCTTGCTGCCGAAGACGACGATGGGGCTATGGATTTGGATGACGACGAGGGCGATGGAAACAAGCGGAACCGGAATGCTTAGCGAATGCTTCGAGGTTTCCGGGAAACACTAGAAAAACGACTCAGTAGAAGGTAGAGAGGAGTGCATCATTCCCCAGGCATCCAGATAACGACGAGCATTGATTGTACTATTGGCCAGAGGAGCCCCCGGTAGTTATGAATACGTTTACTAGTATGATTTGGTAGGAAATGTATGACATATCAATCGACCCCATGTACATTTTCTTGACACGACAAAAAGTGATGAATGAACAAGAGTCCTTGATATCTATCGGATAAAACTACATAAAAGCTACAAAAACGCATGGTACGCGACATATGCTCCCTTCCTGCATGGCCCTTAACCATTAAACCTGCTCGCTAGTGTTGCCTTCTGACGCCTCCCACACAAAACAGCCCAGCATGAGGGATGTTCGCTGTGAAATGGCAGGTGAAAATACCAACTGGTATCCTAGACGCAAACACTTCGAAAAGAAAATATAAAAACAGAAAGTCGCGGAAATAAAAATCAAAAGGGGATAAAATTCGTCAGTTGCTCCGCAGAACGCCTTCGTGATATTCGTAACAAAATTCCAAGATAAAACGCCGAGAGTCGAGCATTCGAAAACTCAAGAGTTCAAGCTTCCAAGCTTCCACCCTTCCCGTCCCGTAGACAAGACACGCCATTCATGTCGCGGTGCATTGTCTCACAGACGCCGGCCAGGCACCAAGATGAACAACACCAGCAGCGCTGCATCGACCAGCACCGTCACAGCGAGGACTACAAGCGCCCGCTTGGCCAGCAGACGCCGCACAAACGGTTCACGCACACGCGAAAAGTGGAAGGGTGTGTACTCGCTGAACCCGAGCAACGCCAGCACCGGGTCCAGTGAGTACTGGAATGAGGCCAAAAAGTAGACGCCAAAGGTGAAAGGCAGGATGAGGAACAGGCGTGTCCTCCGAGACTCGTCGAGGAAAATGAGCACAAAGGCCGTCCAGAAAGCACCGAACATGGAGATCATGCCGATAATCAGCCGCAAAATGAGCGTCGGCGGGATCAGGTTGCCGAGGGCCTTCATCCGCAAGAACCCTGGGAAGGCGTCACGTTCCATGGCCTGGAAGACGTAGTCCTTAGCAACGTCAAAGACCTCGGGGTCGTCGCGGCCGTACTCCTCGATGGCGGTCGTGATCTCCGTAGTGATGTTGCCCGGCAGAATAATCTCGCGCTCGGCGCCCGGCAACAAGAACGTGTACAGAATCTTCTCGGCCGATGCGCGGATATCCTGGCGTGCCACGGCATGTGCCGGCGAGTTGGAGTCTGTAATGTCGCGCGGCGTGCTCGCCGGGTTCGGGCTTTGGCCGGGCCCGCTGACCGGCGAGTCCTGAGGATGCAAATCTTCACGCAGAAACGCCGACATCTGTGCATCCTGGTCCCTCTCCTTGTCCGACTGATATTTGGACGGACCTGCCACAGGGTGCGTCATGTCGCCCAGGTTTTCCAGGATGGCGGACGAGCGCTTGGATGCCGACTTCTCGCCATCGGGTGTGACGACCAGGACGGACCGGCGCAGTTCACGGACATAGTGACGGCAAAGCGTCATGTGCTGAGCAACATCCAGCCTGGCAAAACCTGCGTTAGCTATACGGGCCCATGGGACACCAGATACCCACAAGGATGGGCCACAGGGACATACCAAAAGTCAAGGTAATCAACTGAGCGCTGTTGGTCACGCATGTAGATGTAAAACGAGTAAAGATCGACTGGGGGGAGCGTCCGTCGGCTCAGCACCTCGAACAGCGAGGGAAGCCGGTTCCGGTTGAGATCCGGCTGCGGCGACGGCGTGTGGCCTCCAGGAACGTCGGCCATGGTTGTGGCTAGTACGTAGGGTTTTAAGAGATGAAAAGTGATGTTTTCGATCGGTTCGTGTCGCCGAATGAGGCTGAACAAAATGCGAGTCTCGTCGGGTGGACGGGTAAAGGCTGATCGTCTCAAAGTCCCTTCTTCCGTCTGCAGCCTTGACTGTCGTGTTCTCGGTCGTAAATTGAAAGAAAAGTGACAAGTAGACCAAATCCAGTCACCGAAAGAGTCGTCGATTGTTGTGTTCTCAATTAGATTGTCGCCGAGGTTCGTGACGAGAATTAACTGTTGACAAGTGACGGGAAACAGACGACAAAAACGTAGGCGACACGAAGAGAGGGCAAAGGGCTGTTAAAGCGCAGGACCAGTGAGAGCCAGATGCGTCCGTCGTACGAAGTACAGTCCGTACGCAACTGGCCGTGCACAATGTCTGGTGCTGCTCGAGAGTCAAAGACAATACGAGACGACGAGATCCAGAAATACGCAATCTGTGGGCTGCGAGGAGGCGCGGAGAACAGCTGGTCCGGACGCGAAGGGCGATCGTGGGTGGGAGAGAGCGTGGAGAAGGCGAGGAACAGTGGCTGCGAAAGAAGATCAGAAACAGGCGACTGCGAAAATCCTGGGTCCGTGGCTCAGTACACTGCTTCAAATCCTGCAGGTCGTGAGGGAGGACGTTGTGAGGTTCAAAATCGAGGGTGAGGAACGAAGTGCTTGGAAGGGGGATTCACTTGGAAACACGACGCAGCAAGGGCCACCAAAGTGGGAAGGAGCAACGGACATAACACTGCATTCCTGGCGTCTTTTGTGATCGGCTCGCGCCCAGGGCTTCAAGTCACTAACGCATACTGTTTAGCGTGTCGCGGTACTTTAATTTAGGGGGGTGTTACCAGGCCAGTTTCGTATCTTCCCATGCTTCATGCCAGGGGCGCGCATAAAAAATTAAATGCTAAAATAAACACGAAAAAAGGTTAGAATGGGGACAAGCCAAACCGCTAGCGGATGTTTCGAGTCACGTGTATTCAATCACGATATTTCTCACGTGATTTGATGACTTATCCGCGTCAGGACACGCTAGAGAATGTATGGACTAGTTTGGCTTGCTTCTACCTCTGATTGGTCACAGTACCCTCTTTTATGCCAATTTTGAAGTGCACACAACAATTTTTTTTCCCTCTACCAGGCCCTACTTTTAGCCCTCTCGCTTTTTTTCCGTTGGCTGTCCTTTTTCTTTGCTCCCCCCTCCCATTCTCGACTTGCCATCACCACTCCTTACGACGACCAACGAAACCGTTTTTTCGAGGTATGCACGCCGCCGACGAATCTTTCCCTTGACGCATTCTATTCCACGAAGCACAATCGTTGTCGCCTCTTTTCTACGTCACGCACACAGTCCTCTAACATCTCTTCTTTTCGTCAACAGCAACCATCCCAAAATGTCGTCGAAGACCAAGGCCTCCGGCAAGACCGGCCGCTCGGCCATTGCCGACGTCGTTTCCCGCGAGTACACCATCCACATGCACAAGAGAGTACGTTTTTGAAGTCCCCAAACGCACCGGACACGGCCAGACGCAGAAATACAGGAAAGAGGCGGATCAAGGACGGATGGAGGTTGTAGCATCGGACCAGGCGAGATGAGGAGGCACGAGTTGGTCGGCTAGTCTTTCTCGCGTACGATGGTACGAGCGGTCGATGCTGTGAGGGCAACCTGGAGATTGGATGTCCTGGAGACTAGATGCTGGGCCGCGTCTGGGTCGCTCTATATATACCAACGTGTGAAGGACATGTACTAACGTCGATGGCAATTCTAGCTGCACGGTGTCAGCTTCAAGAAGCGGGCTCCCCGCGCCGTCAAGGAGATCAAGAAGTTCGCTCAACAGGCAATGGTACGGAACCTCCTTTCCCCCACGCCGACTCTCTCGACGACACATCGCTCGACTCAAACCGCCAATCTGGGACCTTTGGGAGCTGAAATGCTGACATGACATGTTTTAGGGCACCTCGGATGTCCGCCTGGACCCCCAGCTGAACAAGAAGGTGTGGGAGGCCGGTGTCAAGGGCGTTGCCTACAGACTCCGCGTCCGCATCTCACGGAGAAGAAACGACGAGGAAGACGCCAAGGAGAAGCTGTACAGCTTCGTCCAGGCCGTCAACGTCAAGAACCCCAAGGGCCTGCACACCGTTGTGGTTGAGGAGTAAAATGGCGGTTCTCGTGATGGATAACATATAAAAGCGAAAAATACCGACAAGGAGGTTCTGGCGACGTTGTTGCTGGATTGTTGGAGTTTGTCTATGTAAAGGATTTGCATGGGTAGGGAAACCTCGGACATGGGTAGTCTTTGATTTTTGGGCAACTCGATTTTTACCAACCAAAACACAAAAGGAAATCAAAAAATCGACAACAAACAGCCACATCAGCCAGAGGCGATCGAACCAAAACAAGCTAAACAAAAAAAGTGGAAAACTATTATCTCGAAGTTCATCTCGTTGCCTGGTGTTGAGGTAGTCCATCTCATTTCAACTTTATGAATTTTACACGTCTACGACAAACGCATCCATCCTGATGGGTGCAGAAGAGTGTTCTTGCATATTACGCAATACCATTTCTCGAGGTGTGATGCAATGGAGTAAAATTGATGCTTGCTCGGTCCTTGTTACCAGGACCCCCGATGTACCCGGTCGCTGTGCTAGAAAATAAAGGGAAATAAATGAAACGGGGAAATAATACACAACCAGCCAGCCACTGGCTCTCGTCCATATCCAACAGCATCTTGGTGTTGCCCTTTGACATATCGCCCGTCGCCACTTACAGCTGCTCGCATGGCTACAGCCCATAGCCCCCTTTGCACGCCTAATCGTCCCCTCACACCGTCATTCGTCCTTTTTCTTCGACTTCAATTCCATGCTCTGCAAGCCCAATGCTCGTTGGGGCCAGAGTCGTGTCCGTCTACTCGTCGTCGACATCACGGTGACGGCCCAACACCTTGCGCTTGAACTCCTCGGCATCGGTGTCCCACAGCTCGGCAGCTTCGCCATTGAGGGGAGAGGCGCTGCAACACAGTTAGTACAAGATGTCTTAAGGATGCTTGCATATCCACAAGGATGATGTGCATGGTGAAAAATGAAACGTACTTGTTCGGCTCGCCGAGCAGGCTTTGCAGACTTAGCAGTACAGTTTGGGTGTTGTAGGCAGGCGTCCACTTGTCCTTCAGGATGTCGAGGCAAATTCGTCCCGAGAAATCAACATTGGGGTGGTATATGGGCGTCTTGAAAAGCACTGTCGGCGGTGCGTAAGGATAGTTGGCAGGGAAGGCAAAGGAAAGCTTGAACGTGAGGCCCGCGTACGGAGTATCGTCGGGGCCCTCAATGGTCGCCCGCCACGACATAAGGTTGCCGTCGGCCGATGGAAACGCGGAAACACCGGGAGCTGGCGAAGTCATGAGCATCATCAGTTCGGTTTGCAATCTGAGAAGTGCAGGTTAGCAGTCGACGAGACGAGGTATACAGAAAAATAAGAAGCAAGAAAGGCAGCCCTCACCTCTTCGTCACGCTCTGTGAATCGGGACCTTTTTTTAAACCGCCAAGGGCAGTCGCCTGCATGTCTGATGCACTCTGCGCGTCGGCCATGATGTATGGATGTTGTGAAGACAGTGAGAACAAAACAAGAAGATGTTGTCGACAAGAGTCACAGAAGCAACCGAGGGCTTTCTGCGGGAAACGGTCGTGTGTGCGATGGACGTGGTCGTTATAAAAGTCGTGGCAGCGAGGCGGGCAACGGGGGACATGCGAGGTGGAAGAGGTAGACGAGACGAGACAAGAGAAAGATGAAGAGAAAAAGAAGAGAGAAAAGCGAAGGTATGAAGAAAGAATAAGCTTCTTTTGTTTCAACGTTAACCAGCTCCGCAATATGCGTCCAAAGCAGCAAGAGGTAGGAAAAGGAAATGAGGAGATAGGAAAAAGCAAGTGAGATCCAATGGACAAGAGAGGCGGCAACTTCCAAGTTAGACTCTGAGACAAACTGTCGGAGTCCCAGGAATGGTTTGGCCAGGAGGGAAGGTGCTGTTCAGACGCCAATGGCGCGTGTCACTGGCTAGGGTGAGAAAAAATACCTACGCTGGTTGTCAGGGAGAGTGTATGAGGTAAAGGGTCGTGCCTGCCACGTTGGTGAGGAATGAAGGACAGAAGCGGCTTCCCAAGAGGGCCTATTCTTAGACTTTGGCCGGCGTCCACGGAGGTTCTTGCTGTTCGTCGTTGTTTACATTCTGGTGCCCTTGATGGCAGGACCTCACCCAGCAGCCAGAAGTTGACCCCAAGAGTGGCCCCTCCCTGCACCCAGCAACCAGCGATAAGGACCCGCTTTTAGGTAGCGATAATGAAGACCCAGTGCTGGAATGCAACTATTTCAGAGGGGAAACAACGAGGTAGCGCCTCTCCGCCTATGGAACCCCACTCACAGCGCTCTTCTTCAGACAAGGTCAGCGCTTGGTCGTTAAAATCATCGCCACGATTTAAGCGGCCAGACGCGACCCCAAGACGCGACCGCCACGTCTAAAGTCGCGTCTCAAAAGAGCCTCACGCGAGCAACCTCCAGTGGATTGTGGACAGACCAACATACACAGAACTGGTGAAGGACGTGCTGCAGTTCCAACATGGTAAGCATCGGCGTGCATTCGTTCTTTATTTACTTCCATCCAGAGCCAGTTAAAGCCCACCAAAAAATATCACGGGAAACCGATTGAGAGAAAAGACGGCAACATAGACGGAAGAATAGGAGCAGAAGCTTCACGGCCTGCGGCGTATTCCCTAGCTCCGCAAAGCTAATCATGCAACAGTCCCAGCTTGCCCCTCTTCCTGACAACCTGCCCTTCCGGTTCGTCTCGAACACCATCGGCAGGGGCGCGTTTGCATCGTGAGTTTGCTTCGACATTTTCCTGTCCGACAGGACCGCACGATGCTCTGGTATATGGCGCTGACGTCTCCTAGCATAAAGAAAGCCGCCCCGCTGGATGTCGACCACCCCGTCTTTGCCGTCAAGCTCATCCACAAACAGTATGCCGTTAAGCATGGTCGCATATCGCCAAAACAGATCGCCACCGAATGCTCGCTTCACTCACATATCGGCCAGCATCCCAATGTGATAGAGTGGTTTGCGACGGGCGAGGATGAAGTGTGGCGGTGGATCGCCATGGAGTTTGCCGAGGGTGGCGATCTCTTTGACAAGATCGAGGCGGACGTGGGCGTGCCGGAGGACATTGCCCATGTCTATTTCAAGCAGCTTGTCAGTGGCACGAGCTTCCTGCACTCCAAGGGCGTGGCCCATCGGGACCTGAAGCCCGAAAACATCTTGCTTTCGTCCTCGGGCAACCTGAAGCTGGCCGATTTTGGCATGGCCACAATGTACGAGTACAAGGGCAGCCGCAAGCTGAGCTCGACGGTCTGTGGGAGTCCTCCCTACATTGCTCCAGAAGTGCTTGCGTGCAACCGGCCACCGCCAAGTACGGCGCCTGCACCCACTCCGAAGAAGAACAGCTACAGTCCGGATTTAGTAGACATCTGGTCTTGCGGCGTCATCCTCTTTGTGCTCCTTGTCGGCAACACACCATGGGATGAGCCCGTGCTCACGAGTTGGGAGTTTTACGAATACGCCACCAAGAACGGACACAGCACCGACCCGCTGTGGGGTCGAGTGCCGCCGGCCGCCC